CCGTTTCCTTTACTTGGATATTTTATTAATTTTTTTTCCTTTTTTTTTTCTTTTTTCTTTTCAAAATGTGAGATTCTTTAAGCAATATTTTCATCTATAAGCTTGACAAATATGGTACGAAATCTTTCTTTTTCTGTAATTTAAAAATACTTTCCTAAACGCCCATATAAATCGTTATGTAATAGTAATGCTCATGGTGGGCTATCCTCCATTTAAATTATCAGCGATTTCTTTTTAAATTTTATAACAGCAGTAATACAGTAGTACACTGATAAGCTCCTCGTTCTCCGCAATTTGTTGAGTCTTTGAAATCTCATATTTGTACAACACGATTAATACACTCCATAATTAATATAATTAATGCCACCGATTTAAACATTCTACCACTTCGGAGATCATTTATAACAACTACCGGGCCACCATGTCTTTTGACTTTTTATGATCTCCCTTCAGATTTTCGACATTTATTCTTATCACAATCACACCACGTAATACATGAATCATTGTACAGTAGAGATTGGTTACGCTACCTAATCAGAGTATGTACAGAAGTCATAGAAGAGGACAGTTTCGTCCACAGAAAAGTGCACTATTTTACCTCTACATCAAAGTCGAGAACAAGAAGTTTGGTCTCCTCCGTGCCGTTACGACTACCCACTGCACACACCAGTTTTGTATCACTTGCACGTATTCTCCACACAACACCACCACTTCCGCCGCTTTCGAGAGCAACCAAGTTTCTTATAAAATCACCTAAATACACAAAAAAGTTCCATCAAAGAAACAATTAAAAAGAAAAGAAAAAAAGAAAGGAAAAATGCAGCAAGAAGAAACGCACCAGTTTTAACATCCCAAAGCTTAACTGTACCATCATCGGATGAAGTAATTACAAAATGACTGTTGAATTGAAGGCAGGTGACAGCAGACTGATGTTTATTTGGACCAGACAGAGTTTGAAGACAGTGACCACTAACAATATCCCATACTTTAACAGTTGAATCTGCGTTTCCAGACACCAAGATATTATTACGTAGTTCCATTCCCGAAGTGAGCGACTGATGTCCCATTAATGTATGTCTACATGCACCAGTTTCAACTTCCCACACTCTTATGCTTGTATCCAGAGAACCGCTAACAACATGTACACCATCGAACTGATGCAGAAGAAAGAAGAAATATATTAATGTTTTGTAACAGTCGTTACATAATAGTGTTGGTATTAAAAAACGATATGTACATGTGTAACACACGTTGCGTATTATTTTCATGTTTAAAGTTCAATGAACGCTTACTTGGAGGGAATAAACACGATTTGTATGTCCTTGTAAAGTATGAAGGCACTCCTCGCGTTCCGGATTCCAAACCTTAACCATATAGTCGTAAGCGCCACTGACCACTAATTTTCCATCGTATTGCACACATCTAACAGCTGCCAAATGGCCCACAAGCACGTGTAAACATTCGCCAGTATCCACTTGCCACACCCTTAAAGTAGCGTCTCTGCTACCACTGACTACTTTATTACCGTGCAGATGCATACACCTCACCGTTGATGTATGCCCGTATAATGTATGAATGCACTGACCAGTACATTTGCGAGGACCACACACCACCAGTATGTCCAACCAATGTTCTTAAACACTGTGAGAGAAATGTAAAAACGTAAAGCCATAGAACGTGAACAACGACAAAAAAGAAAATTGCAAAGGAACATTGCACAATTTCATGATGTAATATCTCATGTTCATAATTACAACAATTTCTTCTACTTACCTTGCCTGTAACGGCAGACCATACTTTAAGGGTATTGTCATCAGAACCGCTTACAATCCGATTACCAGAGAACTGAAGGCAAGTAATCACATGATCATCGTGTCCTTTTAGGATTTTTGGCGTACGGATCGGTTTCGTCCTCCAATTCATTTTTATATTATGTTGTCTCATATATGCTTGTTTCCAGGGGGACGAAGAGTTACCAGAATTCCTACAATTCTTACGTTTCGTTGGAGGTAAGTCTTTCAAATCTTCTATACCAGCTGCTCTACATTTCTCTTTCCACAATAAATTGTCGTCAGCGAGAAATCGCCAATTACGACAGGTTTGCGCGGCGCGTAAAAGATCCCTAGGTTCTAGAAAAGCTAATACGGACAAGGCCAACTCTTTCGGCAACAACGATATGAAGTCTCTCTGAAATTGAGGTTCAATCACCTGCATCATGTGTCGAACTTGCGTTGGTTCGCATCGTTCGATTAACTCATCTATCGCTAGCATTCTCTCTGCGTTCGACCATCTCTACAGATAGAAGCAATATTTTTAGTTTTTATTTAACTTTAATAACGAAAGAATTTACTTAATCAAAGAACTTCATTTTTTCATACCTGAAATTGTAGAAGCCAATTACTCATTTCAGGTGGAGGATTATCTTTTGTTGGAATAACACATCTCACATGTTTACTTTTATCATCCAACTTCTTAACAATCCTGCAAATAAAACACTCATGTGCTATAAAATGTCTCAGAGCTTCCTCTTAGAAATCTCAATTCCTTTTTAATAATCTTCTTCAAATTATACTTACATCGAATGTGATTTGTCTTCTGGGTTAAGTTTTTTACAAGGTAAACTCGATTCAGTTTCACTTTTACGCTTTCTTTGTGGCTGAACAACATCCAAGGGTACACAAGTATGTAAAACAGGACTATGTACCCGTTGTGTAAGAGACTGAGGTTGTGATGCAGACAATGAACAGTTATTGCTTTTAAGCTCAGGTTCACATTCCGCATCACAAAATATTCCAGTATCACTGATCTAAAATGAAATTAGTCTAGCTGTATTAATGCACTAATTTCTTTTTATTATAGCACATTTGATGCAAAAGTAGCACTAACTTCACTTTCTTCTTCGCTACTATCATCTTCCTCTTCTTCCTCCCCATCTTCTCCATAATCTTCTGATTCTTCATCTTGTGTTAACAGAGAATGCATAGGTTCTAAAGAACTAGGTCCTGGAACACCTTCAATGCCCTCTATAGGACTTGGACTTGTACCACCTGGTTTATTATCAGTTATTTTATTAGACGACGAAGAAGGGACAGACATCACTGGCTTATATCTGATTTATAGTATTACCTGGATATACAGAAAGATAATTGTTTTCTAATCGTTTCCTTAATAGAAAGAATGGTTTATTATACTGAACACGTAGAGCACAAAATATATTATACATAATATAAAAATTCATGAAAACAAGTTATGTGTAAGGTTTAAAATTTAATGCTTTTGCATTTTCATTACAAAACCCGACCTAACACTCTGAAGTACGTTTCTAAGATTTTCTACGGATAAGAAATTATGTAAAGTACTTCCGTTTAAATGACTGTGATTTGTTACATTGAAGGTACCTAAAAGTTTATTAACTTTCATAATGACAGATTATCATTTTGCGTATATTTTGTAACTTTATAAACTATCTAGTACGAACAAATGTAAAATTACAGATGTATGAAAATATTATTAAGGAATTATAAATCAAAGAAGTCACACAAGAAAAGTCAGATTAATGTTTCAATCTTTCGTAAAACGTTTTAAAAGTTAAATAAGAATTTTTAAAAACCGCTGGAAATGTTCTAATATTAACTGCATTGAAGAAAAGAAAAGTAATCTTCCAAAATATGCAAAAATCCTAACCTTAGACGGATCCTAAAACCAAGTTAGATTCGGAACATAGCCTAGAATAATAAAAGGAAGGACCGGTTAGCCACACCCCTAATTTTCATGAGATTATCACCAGGAGTAAACGAATAATGTAGAAAGTTAGAGATGAATAAACAATTCATACTTAGAGTAAATGTTTTTCCTCAGTAGCTTCCTTATTGTAAAACTACTATACGACGGTGATCCAAGTTTCTTAGTTTCGATTAATGTTCTTATCATATGGTCACAGTACGCATTTTTCGTATGTCGGTATTTTGTTAGGTTAGAATACGATAAAACTAACTTTCGGATGAAAAATTTAGGCCAACGAGAATGTTGAAACAAAAATAAGAAACAGGTATAAACACAGAAAAAGATCCATCGGTAGCTCTCGGTAGCTCCGAGGTTTTTATCTCTTCGTACTCGCTGCTTCGTAGACAGGTAGCTGTTGCACATGCGTTTACGTTCACAAGCCGCGTATCCATTGTTTGCCTTCTCATTATTATCCCTGCGATTAAATTCATACGTATCAATTATGCTATGCTTTACAATAATACACAGATGACAGTAAGATTGATAATCAATTTCACTATTTCTTACTTCATTTTCATAATCTGCGATAATCAAGAAAAACGCAATACTTTATAAACAACTTTTAATTAATAATGTTTATAATTTGATAAAGTAGAATTTAAACATTTATTCATATTGAATTAACATCTCTTTATCTTTCGTTTACTGAGAAATGTGTAAAATTTTCATATACATGTCATTATCAAAGTTCGTTTGAAAAAAATTTATAATAGCTGACGTTCGTCGTTTACATGTTTTACATATTACTTCGAATAGAATTAACATCATATTTTTATGATGTTAATCTTTTATTCTTTTCTTCTTCACACATCGTGTGTTTTATGTACTAATATTTTTGCAATTGGTTTGAATACAATGTTCTGTGAACGGGACATTATTTAATGATACACATTAGGAATGGGACATTGTGCGTACGGTATCGTTAAGTTTCTTTAGAAAACGTGTTAGTGAGACACATATGTATGTGATATGTCAAACGGTGACGTTGGACAACTGAATTTTGAAGGTTATCAAACGTTAGAGGTGTTTGAATTTTAAAATTGATTAAAATCAAGCAAAACAGAACATCTTGTCGATGCGGTTGATCACCGTCTCGATCGCCGTTTCTTTTTACTTTCCCGAGACGTTGTGTCCCATCGTGACGGTGAACTACCGTGTAAATATTTAAAAATTTTAGAGCAAAACTTAAGGTTAGGTATAATTTAAAGTAATACAATGGCTTTAGGTACAATATTGCAGGTGAGCCATTCAAACATGTTATTTTCACTATTTTTATTTCACGACCAAACTACCGTTTATAATTGCAAATGTAATTGGTATTTCATAGAAAGCCATAGACCTGGTTACCAAAGCCACTGAAGAGGATCGTAACAAAAATTATGAGGAAGCACTTAGATTGTACGAACATGCTGTTGAATATTTCTTGCATTCTATTAAATGTATGAACATTGTTAGGTTTCTGCCATAATATATTTCATTTATAGTAATCATGTTGCACAAATCAATATGAAGTTGCTTCACCATAATTGCTCTTTTAGATGAAGCACAAGGAGATAGGGCAAAGGAAAGCATAAGAGCAAAATGTACACAATACTTGGAAAGAGCTGAAAAATTAAAAGCATATTTAAAGAAAAGTGTAAAAAAACCTGTGAAAGCAGGCATAGATAATTCTAAAACAGAAGATAAGAAGAGTGATAGTGGAGACAGTGATACAGATAGTGATCCAGAGAAAAAGAAACTTCAAAGTAAATTGGAGGGTGCGATAATTATTGAAAAACCAGATGTCAAGTGGAGTGATGTTGCTGGACTTGATGGAGCCAAGGAAGCTTTAAAGGAAGCTGTTATCTTACCAATACGTTTTCCTCACCTCTTTACCGGAAAACGGATCCCATGGAAGGGTATCTTATTATTTGGGGTAACTTTTTAAAAGAAAACCTTAGTAACTTTACATAAGTATTTTTCAAATAATTTCAAGACATTTCCAGCCACCAGGTACTGGTAAATCTTACCTAGCAAAAGCTGTAGCAACAGAAGCCAATAATTCAACATTCTTTTCTGTATCATCCTCTGACTTAGTAAGCAAATGGCTTGGAGAATCTGAGAAACTTGTAAAAAATTTATTTGAATTAGCCCGCCAACACAAGCCCAGTATCATATTTATCGATGAGATAGATTCACTTTGCTCGTCACGTTCTGACAACGAATCAGAATCTGCGAGAAGGATAAAAACGGAATTCTTGGTTCAAATGCAAGGTAATAAAAGATGTTTGATAACACGTTGAATCGTATAACATATTTTTCCTGTGTATGTGTATTTGCGTGCGTGCGCATTTATATGCGTGTATATAGCAAATTGATGCATCAGGTGTCGGATCAGACAATGATGGTATACTGGTACTGGGAGCTACTAATATACCATGGGTACTGGATGCCGCCATTAGAAGAAGATTTGAAAAAAGGATTTACATTCCCTTACCCGATGAACAAGCTCGTGTTATAATGTTCAAACTTCACTTAGGAAGTACTTCTCATTGCCTAACAGAGGAAAACTTTAAGAAATTAGCAGCTGCTACCGATGGATATTCAGGAGCTGATATAAGTATTATTGTGCGAGATGCGCTTATGCAACCAGTTAGACAAGTTCAAACTGCAACGCATTTTAAACGTGTAAGGGGACCGTCACCGAAAGATCCTTCTATTATCGTGGATGATTTATTGACACCATGCTCACCGGGAGATCCTGCTGCTTTTGAAATGAACTGGATGGAAGTTGAAGGTGACAAATTGTACGAACCACCCCTAACTATGGTAAATATAACATTTTTCCATTTCTTTTATACAGTTATGAGAATTCTACTTTAGTTCACGGTAATTCATAAATATCTTGCAATTTATCTTTCATGTTTAGAAAGATATGTTGAAATCATTAGCGACTACCCGTCCCACAGTGAATGAAGAAGATATGACCAAGTTAGAGAAATTTAAAGAAGATTTTGGTCAAGAAGGTTGATACTCACAGTTTTTTAAGGAAGTCACTATACACTTCCAAAAGTATACTTTGATTATACATGCACTTGCCTTATATCTTCTTTAATTACCGACATTGCTATACACAGTGTTTAAACAGTTTAAACAAAAACATCTAAATTCAAGTTTCTATTTACATTCTTTTTCTTTTTTCTTCTTTGTTTTGTTTCCCTTCAACAATCAGTATGCAGTAACAGTGACGACATTTTAAGCTTGATGCTTATTTATAAACACCGTTTTATCAGAGCTAATATAAAAATCACAGAATGAACAATATAAATATATTTTGAGATAAAAATTTGTTAGATTTTAGTCGGCGAAAAAAAGCAATAGACTGTTTTTTATTCAGAAGTGCGAGGAAAAGTCGATGTGCGGTCCGTAATGTGTAATGTATAGTGAATTCGCCGCGTTTTTAACTTATAATTACGGCTATACTTGTACCTAACAAATTAATTGTACAATATGTAAGTTTAATAAGTGTTTTTGAACAATATTTACGTTTATAGATTACCAATTTGTTTGTATGTTTTATAATTTTGATCTTAGTAATTAACGACACATTGTGTACGATATCTGCATTCATTTTCCCCGATAAGTGAAAATTACAAGTAATCGATTTAAATGATTCGCTAAATTAAATAAACGCGGTTATAAGTAGTATGTGATATACGTGTATGTATTTCAAATAAGCAGAATACTGTTTCCATGTAAATTGTTTTTATTGTTAACTAAATAAATAACAAGCTGTACAAGACGAAACTTCAATTTCCTCAATAGTGTTTAGAAACGATATCAGTTGATGGTTTTATAAATGTAACAAGAAACTTGTATGAATTCACGGAGGGCAGTGTCTTAAAAATTCGGAGTCCATATAAACAACAGTTATCGTAATATCATCACGAAATATTCGTACTACTTCTTTTGGTAACGTTAATAATTGTGATAATTTGGCATGGTCTATACCATATTCGGTACCGCCGAGTGCATTTCTCAATAAATGTGTTGCCGCATTACAATCGAGAGGCTTCTTTTTCAAGCCCTCTTTACGTTGCAACAACATTTTGTTTATTTCCGACAATTTCATATTTTTACGAGGTAGCCTTAATGGATTCAACGTTACTTTTCCACTCATATGCTCACCTACTAAACGTACTGCCTGTAACGGTGACATTAAATCCCACAAACCGTCGCTAGCTATTATAAGGAATTTATCTCTAGGTGTTAGTCTATGATATTTAACTTCTGGTTTTGCTGTTAAATACGGTGGTGTACGATAATTCGGTGGAATTGCAGCTTCACCGAAATACGGCACCACTACTTCCTTTAAAGTATTTTTGCTCCATTTGTAACGAAAATCACCTAGCGAACGAAGAGGCGCCAATTGCCCAAGTAGTCGTTCCATTTTAATTACTGTTGACTTTTCATTCGCTGGATGCTCCGATAGAATTCTCTCAACTTCTAAACGATTGTCAGTGTTATGTCCCATGGTCATCAACTTCGCAGACCAACCGTCATTTTCTGCAATAAAATACAAAATGGAATAAAATTCATACCCGAAAGTACACCGAGTACTGCTTGGCAATCGCCTACTCCTGCGACGTGAAGATGTGGACCGTCTATATGTGCAACAGCTGCTACAGCACCAGACATTGCAACAGCCACTGTCCTGGCAGTGCTATTTTTACCTAAATTTAAAAGTGCTTCGTTCGACAAATCATTATCTAATCGGAGAAATGCGTTTTCTAACGCTGTTTCCATTTGAAATTCTTTTGTACATTCCGATTCTATTAAATCCTTTACAAAAGTTAAGAAACTTGCTTGATGAAGATCTCTAATATCAGAAACAAAGTCCACTTTATCGTTGAACATTTGAAGAAGTTCTAATTTATTATTGGAGTTCACTGTGCTGAGATATTGTTTCAATAACTTTGTAGGTAATAAGCATGCCGATATATAGTGAAAAAGTCTTTTAGAAATAATTTGTGCACAAGTGACACCTCCATGACCGTCGAACACACCTAGCAATATTCCTAAAATAAACATATGGCCTTGTTGTATAAAAATGAAAATTCTTATGTTATGTTACAAACAGTTAATTGTGTCACTATTTTGTATAGCTTTTATACCTTTTGTAAGTAAGCATTGGGCCTCTGATCGTGTATCTTCTATAGGATTATTAGATGCCAGTTGATTTGAATCATAGTATTTTATAGAACTTTCTCCATTGAATTCTTTGGTATATTCGTTGGCTTGTAGAATTGCAGTAACCTACAATGCAGTAATCAATACATTTGAATCAACTTTACAAATTAATTTGCTAAGGTTTAGTTACCTCTTGTGGTGTAAGCCGTGGCAAAGCCATGTACAATCTTTGGACACATTTGTTGCTACTCCATTCATTCTGTCTAATGCATACATTGCTGACAGTTTTAATTAAATTACTGCTAACGTTTTGTAAGACCATTCTACTTTTGCAATACTGTAGTATATTTGTGCTAGCACATTTTCGTGCCTTTTCTCCTACAGCACATTTTGTCTATTTTGCAGGTTATGTTAAATATTCATCTTTTCAATGTCTTTTCAAGGATAATTGTTTTCGTAAAGTTATATATACTATACAGTATCTTTATACACTATTTCACCAGTATTATTGCTGCATTTATTAAAAATATACATATACCTTATTATGCCAACTTTAGTAGCAAGTACTTCACGTCGACTTGACAATGATGAAGTAAAATTAACACCTCTTAATCTCTATGCATTCAAGTGAAATATAATCCTTATTTATTACCTTCTGAATTGCAAACTCCGTAAAAATATAAAAAGGAATTGTTTTTTTTTTTTTTTTTTTTTTGGTTTTCAACTTTAACTGCGTTGCAATTTTGTCATAAAATTGAAATATAATTAATATAAACTATTTCGCCTTTAACGTACTTTACGTCTAACAAAATAAAAATAATGATTCAAATGATAACTGAGTCCGATTTTATTTCATAGTATGGTATATGCTAATATTGAAAAACAAAAATACAATAATGAATAAGTATTCAACTCTTCGGTTAACAGGAATTATGCAATGGAAGAGAAAAAAAGAAGAAACAGTGAAAAATAACATAAATGATCGAAATAATCTGCGAAAAAAAGAATGCAGTTTTGTTTGAAACAATTTAAAATTTGACCGGTAATGAAATACCATGATAAATTAAACATTATATACGAATGATGAATAGGATATTTATAAAATAAAAATTATTCATTTTTCTTGTATGCTGTTTTCTTATAATTGCATGATTTTCATTAAACAATACAAAAGTTTTCGTTTAGATTTATTTATGTCCCATATTTGAAATAAATGGACATAATGCTAGTAAAAAGAACTAAAAGATGCTACTTGTTTTATTGTGTCTGTAATTATTCCATTACGTGCAAGAATTTTAAACTCGAAAAACAATATTCTAATGATATGAATTTACGGGTAAAGGGGAAGGTTGAATGTGTGTGTCCAGTGACAAAGAAAAGAAAAGATGTAGAAAAGGAAAGTACTATATTTGGGGTAATTTGTAATTGAAAGAATAACCTTAAATGCAAGAAATTCCTGATTCCGGTTATAATGTATTAGAAAACGAAAGTGAAAACTTTCGTTAGATTTTTTGCCACAATTTTCGATGGTACGAACAGTGTGAATATTATAACTCAAAGGTAAGTTTCGTTTAAAGATATCCCCTAGAATATTACCAGAAATGTGTATTTCTATTGGCAGAACTGTCTTCGAAGACAATTTGAACGCAGAGAAATTTGAATTTCAAAACTTAGTTTACCTTCAACGGTTGGTGATGGGTGTCTGTGTCTAAATTAATAGATTTTGCTATGGTGTTTAATAAGAGAGATTTGGCGAAAGCATTTTCGCCCAGTAAGGTTAAAAAGTTCCCGAAGAAACGGCTTTCCAGTAATGGAATCAAGTCGAATACGAGTGGAAGCACAACTTCATCGATACAAACTGAGTCCAGTTCACAGACGAGTATCAAGGTAATCGTAAGAGTACGACCGCAGAATGAACATGAGCTTCAGGGCAATTGCAGAACTCTTATAAAAGTTGTCGACGATAAAATGCTTATTTTTGACCCGAAAACAGAAGAAAATCCGTTCTTTTATCACGGCGTTGCTCAAAAGGGACGTGACTTGCTTAAGAAACAAAATAAAGAATTACAATTCATCTTTGACAAAATATTTAACATGCAATCTGATAACACTGATGTATTCGAAGGAAGTACCAAAGAATTAATATGTAATCTTTTGGATGGTTATAATTGTTCTGTATTTGCATATGGAGCAACAGGAGCTGGAAAAACTCATACTATGCTTGGCAACAATGAAGATCCTGGTATTACATACAGGACAGTAGCAGAATTATTTTCTGAAATAGAAAAGCAGGGTGAACACCGTGAATTTAATTTAGGCGTAACATATTTAGAAATTTACAATGAGAATGTGCAAGATCTTTTACATAGATCTGGACCTTTACATTTAAGAGATGATGGTAGATGTGGAGTAATTGTTGCTGGTCTTAAAATAATTGCTATTCATAGCGCCGAAGAATTATTAACACTTCTGGCAAAGGGTAACAGAAATCGTACCCAGCACCCTACTGATGCAAACGAAGAAAGTAGTAGAAGCCATGCTGTTTTTCAAGTTTATATTAACATTACCAACAAATTGGATGGTCAAGTACGACAAGTCAAGCTATCCATGATTGATTTAGCTGGGTCTGAGAGAGCTTCTGCTACAGGTTGTAAAGGACCAAGGTTTAAAGAAGGTGCAAATATTAATAAATCTTTACTGGCTCTAGGAAATTGCATTAATAATTTGGCAGACGGTGCAAAACATATAACATATAGGGATTCTAAATTGACACGTCTCTTGAAAGATTCATTAGGTGGAAATTGTCAGACAGTTATGATAGCTAATATTGCACCATCTAGCTTTAGTTACGAAGATACGTACAATACGCTAAGGTATGCAGATAGAGCCAAGAAGATCAAAACTCACATAAAGAAAAATATTCTATCATGTGAGATGCATGTAACTGCATACATAAAAATGGTCGAGGAACAAAAGAAGGAAATAAACTATTTGAAGCAAAAGTTATTAGCATTTGAAAGTGGTCAATCGATGCGTATACTACCAGAGAACAGTACAGATAGTAAGATCAATGAGGAAATGGACAAACACGTGCAAACCATTAGCAATAAACTTTTAGAATTACTTCAAAAAAAGAAAGTTCTAAATGAGAAGGTTCTGTCATTGGAAAGTGCTGACAAAATATTATGTTGTAGAATTCAATACAAAAAAGCAGCAGATGAAAGATTGCATAACTTAACAGCAACTGTTGAAGCTTCAACACCTGAAGAGCAAAATGCGAGTGGTAAGTCAAGAGTTAATAAATCTTTGCATTATTTCGAACGGCAAAGAGATTCCTTGAAAATACAAATGGAAGCGGCATGGAAAGAATTGTGTTTGATAGAGGTAGAATTACAAAAATTGAATGTGGAATTGAAGTCAAAGAAGTTAGAAGATATAATTGCACTACAAACTTGCGAAATAAAAAATTCTAGACTACAGCAAGAGTATGAACATATAAGGAAAGTAAGTAATCTTCAACAATGTGAAATGCAGTCTTATTCTTCAATGATTAAAGTGATGAGTACAACAGTACAAAATTACTATAACATGATGACAGGATATGGAACAATGACAGACGCAATGAAAGAAGAATTTAAACAATTGATCAAGTTATTGGAAGGAGTGAAAAATATCAAATGGTCAGATATGGAAACTATCGACCATGAGGAACATTTTTATAGTTTAACCTGCCTTAGCACAACTAATCTAATGGATCCTCTTAACAATAAAATGCCTACATTTGTGTTACATCCAACAGATCAACAAAACCAAGACAATTGTACTAAAGATGCATTAAATGCAACTTTTAATGCATCTTGTCCTGAGACAGACAACATATTGGATGCTCATGATGTAACTGTTACATTGCAAGAAGATTCAAATGCGAGTTGCAATGAAGATACAAAAGTGACAAAAGAAAATGCAGAAGGAGAGCATAGTAACGCGAATTTTATACAAGAAAAGGCGAAAAAGCGTGTTCTTTCAGATAGAAATAATGTTAATGTGACAAAAACTTCTGCCAAACTAGCAAAACATAAAGGTGCTACACTCTGCACAATAGGTACCAAAGGTAAAGAAAATAAACAATGTGTGCCAAAATCGCACGTAACAATGAGTGCTAAAAGTATTGCTATATTAAATAAGTTAAAAGTAGACAGACTTAAAAAAGACAATTTGAATATCAATATGTCAGATGGAGCACTGAAAGTAGTGAGAGAAAAAGAAAGGAGAGGATTGATGGCAACACATCCATATCAAAAAGCAAACGGAAAGCAAAAGTGAGCATATTATTTGACAAAATATATAAATATAACGTCTGTATTGATTAGTAGTGGAGGAAAATATATTGTAATTTGTGTCAGGTTAACAGTGGTTAATAATGACGGTAGATTATATTTTCACATTCTATAGAAGTAGTCATATTCAATATGTATGTTTCACGTGGAATGAACAAAAATTGTACATCGTTACAGACTCGTTCCAGCGCTGCCTTCGTCACGTGTGCCCTGGTAGCAGCAATAACGATCAGTAATATAATGATATAAGAAACGTATATGTAACTATTTATGTTCGAGCCAGTAAAAATAGGTGCAGAGAACTGGTTAAACATTTTACATTTCTATTAAAATATAAGTATAAAAACTGCTTTGTGCAGGTCGACGTTACCGTACTTGTATAAAAACGATTCTGTAACAAGGAGAATAATAGTTCAGATTATGTTAAGTAAAGTTATAAAAATATAAATGTATCTTTTGATATACTTATTTCATAAAGGTATGCACAACAATCAACGTTGCACGTCAACGATATTTTAATGAATTATTTTAAAGGCTGAATACAAAATAGGCACAAGAACATATAACAATGTCAATTTAATCTTATACGAGGTGACATTTACTTGATATTATTTTGTACTGTGGTGCAATAATCGATACCCCGCACACGAGCGAGATTGGTTTACAGGGCACTGCAGTTACCTAAAAATGTATAGTATACATCGACACGCACGGAAACAGTAAGCCGGTTTTTTCTTAGTTTTCATATTTTTAACATACACTTTGTAAATAAGTAACGAGAGACATATACTGTGTGCACTATTAGATTTACTATTGCGTCCCTAATTTATTGTCGGTTGCTTTAATCAGTTGAAAATACAAAAAAAAAAAAGTTGGTTTTTTTATCATAGCAGAACAAACGTTTCAATGAAACCAAAAGTTGGACTTTTATATCATTGCTTTTAAACGTGTCTCGAAGCATCTTTTCCCTTTCTTTCTTCTGCTTGTCTTATAATGTAACTTGTATTCGAAATCACAGCGTTTAAAAGTGCGAGCAAGAATATGGTTGCGTTGTACAAGCGTCAATCGCCAAGTGACACGTCCGATGGGCTCTATTCTGCACGCTGCCCGGCCGAAGCTGGCTTGGAAAAAACCCAGGGTGAGTCACCCATCCAGCGCCAGGCGTCAAAAACAGATTTTCTGACACCAGTTTGAACAACGTACAATTTTTTCATAATACTCGAAAACGGAATGTAAAGTTAAGAAATTATTTATTAACATGCCAAGGCGTTTAAACCCGGAGGTCATCTTTTTAATACTTACACAATGAAATATTATATTTGAAATTTTATTAATATTTATTTCACTCTTGACCTACTGAATAATTACAACACTTTTTGTACGATTATCTTATTTTGTGCTTCGCATTTGATAACTTTCCATTACGGTTTTTTTCCTATAAATAATAATATGTATAAATATTAGTACATCGATATTCAGTTTGCAGCAAGTATGCCAAATAAGCAATATATTTGTAAGTACAATTTAATTTCTGCTTTCGAGTTACTTACGTATTTTTCCAAAGCATGGAGTATCTGTGTAGTAAGTGTTAACATTTTAAGTTCCATAAATTGTCGTGCTGTAACTGCTGTCGGTGTGACCGATCTTGAACGATCGAACAGCGATACTAACGACTGGAATAAGAATGCTAAAAAAGCTAGAGATGCCATTACACTCAAAGGATCGAAAGCTCTGAAAGACATATGCTGTGTGTACGTGAGACAGTAACAGCTATACAACACGGTAATCATAACAATTGATTTAACAATAAATTTAAAAAAGTTAACTGTAATAATATTTTTCATTTCAAGCACATACTCACGGATAATAGGTAGAAGTGACAGCTGTTTCTCCATACCCATTGTAATAATTTCGACCTTGAATACCTGTAGATAGTTTACTGTATTCTGAGGTCTGTACAAAGAAGAAATAAAAAATAAATATATTCTCCTCTTTTTAAATATTAAAGTGTTACACAATGAAATTTTGCAAAAACAGTTGTGGGAAAAATTGAATAAATTTTATGAATTTCTAAATCATTTTCCGCGTAAGAAGCATTTGCTAACGTTTTACGCAAAATAGTACAAAATACTCCAATTTTCAATAAAATTTTAAACATTCTTCGTAGAATATGTAATGTAACACGCGAAGAAACTTAATATCGCTATCTTTATCGTGTAATATTCATTCCCTTTAATTTAATGTAATTTATCTTTTTCGGTTGCTTACATTCATTCTACAAAGACGATCAGTTTTCCCTTTATATTTCTTCTATGCGCTGCGAATGCATTTATAGCTTTTGAGATGCATCCGTTGTTTCATACACGCTCTACTTATTTATGTTACGATATCACGAAGTATTTTTTCCTGTTCTTCCGGAATAAAATGTACATGAAATTGAGCGTGTCCGCTATAACGAATGGACGAAGACTGTGCGTTATACTTATCATTGCAGTGACACTATATGCATACATTGTAGATTGTATTTAAAAATTTTATATATACAGAGTTAGTAAATAGTGGAAGTGTTAATGATATTATGTGAATTCCTACTTAATTACATTATTAGTTATATCACCAAAACTTCTTTTTCTTCTCTTCTCTTCTACGTGAATGTTTTATAATAATTATACTAACCACTATATTGACAAATATTACAATGTTCTAATTAGCATTTATTCTGTATTCTCGTAAAATTTCAAATTTAACACATTTTTAACAGCTTGTTTATACTTGTTGATCGAAAATGGATCTTCCCCCTTATTTATTAGATCGGAAACTGCAGTCCTGTATTCTGCTGCGTGCGGTATATGTTCATAACTGGAATCGATTGGCGAGTTTGGCCAATTATACATAGTTGTTAAAGACTTTCTGCTTTTGTTTTTATCCCAGTCATAGTACTCCATATCTGCTTCTGATTTTTCAGTTTCCCATGGTTCTACACGCTGAAAAAATTTACAATATTATCCTAAACAGCTTTTGTTTGTATTATTTCACTTGTACAATACGCTAATTAGAAAGCTAGCAGAACTAATAGCAAATAACTTACCCAAGATATATGAAATAAGGCTGTTAGAAGGTATTTTACATAATCCAAATTTTGTTTTTTAGTTGGACATCTGTCTGCAGTTATTGTTATTACATCTGTATGAGGATTGTATTTATCACCTATTAACCTAAGCATTTTGTCTTTAGCATGTGCATCTAAATGCAAAGAGGATAGTTTCACTCTTAGACTCACTATTCTGGCAAGAGGTTCTCTTATTGTAGGTGAGGAATAACAATAATTGGATGAAATTATTTGAAGAGGAAAGTGTTTTTGGCACTCTTCGTTTGTTTGCAATTCTGTTGGCCATTTTGTGCAAAATCTTCTTAAGGCCATGCAGTGTTTCTTAATCGCAGGTGGAGTGAGATGTAAAAAGTTTGGAATTTTCATTAGCTCTGCATTTGCATACTTATCAGGATGCATACCTTTAGGATTTTTATATCCTTGTTTTAAAGGAAGTGGGACAGTGTGTGGTTGAAATGTTCGTGCTGTGGGCCAAATTGCCTGCCAATTTTGATCTATTGGCATTGCTTCAGCTTTGGGTGGACCCATTTTTGTTATATTTGAAGCCTTTTTTCTAAGCATCCGCTTTTCCTTCGGCATTAATTCTAACACTCGAAACTCTATGAGAGAAAATGATACGTTCTGTATAAAAAATTGTAATATATGGTTTAAGCAATAATACCACAATACCTATATCGTCTTTATCCTCAGTAACAGCGGTCTGAGCAACACACTGTGTGCTTGTTGTGGAAGATAACGGTGAAAATCTCATAATTTTTAGTACTGCCGCAATATTATTGGCTTCATAGCGTCGTATTAGTGATAACATTTCGACAATTATTCTTTAATACCTTGTTAATAACCTACAATCACGTACTAAGTGTATATATCGTAAGCAACTAAATCTCTGAACGGTTCAATTCCATACATTCCCTTCGATTGTGCAACGCACGCTGGAACTGTTGCTATAGTGTAGTGCTTTCTAAACTTATTTTGTCACGGAATTCTTATACGATTTTTCAAAAATCGAGGGAGACTCGCCATCCTAATTTCAATAAGACGTTAAATGAAACGAAAATTGTTGTAAAATAAATTCTTACGAAATTTGATTAAAAGACACGATATCTCGCGGATCCCTCTTAGAGAAACACTGCTATAGTGTATTATGAAGTATAATTGAAATTTTATTTCGTTCCTACTTAATTGGTAAAAGAAATTCATGTAAAAAATTTGTCTATAGGTTTTTTGAATAAACAGCATTTAACAATTTCGTAGCTAATAATCGTTCTTTAGTTTTACATCTTTCCTTTTTGTAATTGATAAAATCAATCTACGTGTTATTTTAAATAAAATCAATTATGTATCCTCTAAATTTCGAATGATTTCAATCTAATACACACACTATATGATATAATTTGCATTTTAAGGATCTGAATGTTAGTGTACGTTCCGAAAAGTTCGCAAAGTTTTAATGGAATGTTAAAGTAACAATACTACGTAATTTAGTAATTTTCAATAAGTTTTAATATTAGTACATATAATGAAAAAGAAAGAGTAAATGCCTAAAAAGGATACTTGAAAAATTCATTGTAATATGAAATGTGACAAAAAAAAAAGAATGTAAAATGCGTGACGTTGTATAACTGCTGCAAATGAGATCAGAGGTTTGTGTATTTTGAGAGATGACGCTTTTCGTCGTGTCTGTTGAATTTTTTGTATACAGTGCATTATGGAATGATGGCGTCTCCCCGTCCAAAATCTCCGCGACCACCTATATCCACGAGGAAGGATGAAAAAGAAGAGAGTTTTTGGGATAAGATTGGCACGTTGGGTCGAAAAAAGCGTATTAAAGAAGGTATCGCATTACGTTTAGCGTAACGTTATTTCAAGCTAACCTTGCTTGTGCTTCTCTCTTCTAAGAACCTACAGAATGTATTTCCTTATATGGTACGAGTGATTTGTTGCTTTAAGCTTTCGTTTACCGTTTAACAAAAAATGAGCGTCGTTTTTCGATTTGCTTTTTAAAAACCTTTCTTATTTGTTTGTATAGGTAATTGATGTTTTGTTTTGAATTTGCTTGTTTGTAGTGCAAGAAGTACAGGAAGAAGGGAAATATGCAATAGATTCGCCAGGGTATGCAGCCAATCCAGAAATGCCACCTGAGGAATATGCGTTGGATGAAAACGAGGAACGTTCTATGATAGAGCCTAGATCATTGGAGGACTCGAAGCTGAAAGAGCTGATATTTGTTTTAATCGAATGGATTAACGATGAATTAGCAGAGCAACGAATTATCGTAAAAGATATTGCAGAGGATTTATACGACGGGCAGGTACTGCAGAAATTGTTAGGTATGCTAACAATTAATAATGAAATTATATGGAATTTAAAAATGTGTTGGGTATACATAGCTAACTTAATAAATATAATGAAATATAATTTTAGAAAAGTTAACAGGAGAGAAATTGGATGTTCCTGAGGTGACCCAATCTGAGGAGGGGCAGAAACAGAAGTTGGCTGTTGTTTTATCAACCGCTAATCGGGTATTAGGTCGTTATCCTCCATATAAATGGAGCGTAGAATCTGTTCATTCGAAAAATATCGTAGCCATTTTGCATTTATTGGTGGGATTGGCGAGACAATTTCGAGCGCCTGTTAGACTGCCAGAACGAGTAGCTGCTCAGGTTGTAGTTGTGCGTAAGAAAGATGGTCAACTGATCCATAGAACGGTTAGGGAAGAAATTACATCGACGTATGACGACTTGGGAATGCGTTGTGAACCAGACGCTTTTGATACTCTTTTCGATCATCCTCCTGATAAATTAGCTGTGGTTAAAAAGGTGTGTGCGGTTTGTATGATTTATAGATAATAAGCCGCCGATCGAACGATTGTACAATTAACACTGTTATTTTTTAGTCGTTAATCACTTTTGTCAACAAACATCTAAGTAAAGTTCATTTGGAGGTGACGGATTTAGATACGCAGTTTCACGATGGCGTGTTTTTAACGCTTCTACTTGGACTTCTCGAAGGATTTTTCGTACCCTTAGGGAGTTTTCACCTGACGCCTAAAACACACGATCAGAAGGTGCATAACGTTTCATTTGCATTCGATATTATGCAAGATATTGGATTGCCAAAACCGAAAGCGCGCCCAGAAGGTTTGTATTGCCTGCAGTTTTTCTAATCACATGGTACCGAATGTAAGTAATTTACTATGAAATGTATAATTCCGTTTTGTTCACAGATATCGTAAACTTGGATCTAAAATCAACTCTACGGGTGTTGCATAATTTGTTCACAAAGTACAAAGGCATGAATTGAAATGGGAAATGACTGGAAAGCAGCGGATAAACATAATAAGACTCGACATATTAACGACAATTAATTAACGTTACTAATGTACTAACCAAAGAGTATGCTTTTTACAATCGGTACACGCACGAGCAGCACCCTTATGCATATATGGGGGGCGGGGTTACGTTGCGGCACGCGGGGTAGAAAGAAGAGAGGGAAGAATAAGTGGCGACATGAAAGGGGGGGATATTGTTATTCGTCGTTAAATCAAACTTTGTCCAATATTACAGATCTTACATTGTTGTTACTGAAATGAACTATAAGAAATAATAAATTTTGTATATTTTTACGAGGCTTCTAAGAAATATACAACTTTAAACATTTAACCACATGTTTGATCTTTTTATCGTGCCTTATTATATTTTTCTATTAATTTGTTTGTACGAACAAATGGTCGTTAAAATTTTCATAAGCTTTTTTTGCCGTACCGATACTTATACGTGGCTATTTCGTAGCATTTAGTCCAAATAAACTGTAAAATAAATATTATTAAATGTTTGCCTATTATGTCTATTTGTGTTACGCGTGAACGTAGATAAGAGGACAAGACGATAAAATAATCTTTAGTTTCTTCACAGACGACGTACAGACGATACACCTATTTAAATAGCATCTTATGGTACTTTTTGTCCAGAGATTCGGGGCCGAGAAAACCGCTTATCGATTTAGCATAGAATAAGTTTACAATATTAGCGTAGTGCTTTTGGAATTAAACGTAACTACGAAATTACTACCCACCCACGCAATCCAATATATTTAATCGCGTTTACTGCGAAGGATAACTCGTCCAGGTATTTAGCAATACAGAAATGAGTAAGGCACGGAAGAGGATAGATGAAGACACGAATACCGGTAGAGTAATGAGTAAGACAAGGGGAGGAAATTTTTAAAGCGAAACTTGCGCCATCTCGCGTCTGGCGATATACAAGCAAAACGGTTCCTATTGGTCCGCGGATACATAACACTCCATCTCTCCCGCGCGCTGAATCAAGTCGGCCAGGAAAAAAATCATCAATAACTAAATAATTACGATGATTTTGTGAACTTTTAGAATTGAAGAATAAAGTGTGGACCTTCGGCAACTTTCACATATAGATTTTAATCAACTACACTCCAGCGATAATTAGTTATAAGCAATTACATTACGCGATGTCGGTAACGATACCGCATACCTTTACGGTTTATCAGTAATTTCATTGCCTTCTACTAAATTCTCATACAACTAATTGTACGAATCTTAAGGACAATTCCCTTAGCTACATTCTTATATAATTTTTATTAACATATTCGGTTTGGTTCAAGAGTTATTAAATATTGCACGAGAGAGTCCCCTATTCATCATACTCGAGTATAGACAAATGTTACAAACAATTGCCAATATCTAATAAACTACATCACTTACGGCTACGAAAATTAATGGAGAATATAAATAAAAGTCCATTCTACATTCTACATGCTTGGAAGTGCATAATTAACCACCGGTGTCTATTGAAATAACGAAAATGCGTTGCGATTGAATGCGACGGGTGTATTTAATACTACCTCGAAGAATGTTAAATAACTATGAAACCAGAAGGGATGTGTTGATAAAGCTTATACGAGTATACGGCCAAAGGAGTTACCTTTCAGACGCAACTAGTTAGTTGCAAGAGAATTTAGTAGAAAGTTATGAAATTATTGATAAACCGTAAAGGTATGCGGTACCGTTACCGTCACCACATATTAAAATAGTTAATAACTAATTATCCAAAGGGTCCAGTGCATTAAAATCTATATGAGAAAGTTGCTAATTGTACACAATACGTTCCTCAATTCTAAAAGTTCACAAAATCATCGTAATTATTGAGTTATTAATGATTTTTCCCTGACCGACTTAATGTCGACCAGACCGCCATCAGGAGGCGGAGCTTAGATACCCACGGACCAATAGGAAACGTTTCTCTCTATCCTACTCGCAGACTATTGCGTTCCTTGTCTAATACCTCTGTTGACATTCTGCGTTTCTATTAAAAAGTTTTAGTTTGCGTTGCCAAACACGAGACGGCGCTGGCGTCACTATATTGAAATTCTCTGTCTTTATCTATCCTTATATATCTCCTTGTCTAACTCATTTCAGTTCTGTCCTAAGGAATATTGTTAAACTTTGGCTGCGTGAACTAACGTCTCGTTACTGGGAACACAGAATGTAAATAGAGGTATCAGACAAGGAACGGACTACTGTGCGAAAAGGATATATATGTAAAGTGATTTCTATTGGTCCGCAGGTCGCTGATCTCCGTCTTCCAGGGCCGTAAATCGAGTCAGCAAGGGTAAAATTATTATTAACTCAATAATTACGATGATTTTGTGAGCTTTTATAATTGAAGAATAAAGCGTGGACCTTCAGCAACATTGGTAATATTAAAGAAATGAAAAATTCATTACATGTACGAATTTTGATCTGCTTAGTACATGCAATTGTACTCTAATTTACAATAAATATTATCGAAAGGGGAAGAATTCAAAGAATCCTCATTATACTGCAATAAAAAATATGAGAGGACAATATTTCATTGGCGGATGGATGATTCATCCGATGCGTAAATATGTACTATGTTCTACAACAGACGACGGTACAGGAGATAGGACTACCATTTTCGTGTGTCGCTACCAACATTATCGATTCAGCATAGAAAAAGATAACAACATAAGTAGCGGTTGGAATTGGAATTAAACGTAACTATGAAATTCCAAATAAAAAAGTAACGTAAATAATTGTTTATTAGTAGAAGGACGATTCGTCACATTTATTAGTGTTCCATTGGTGTGAAAAGATCGTGAACAATACCCTTCCCAATATACTTGTGTATGTAACGTTATACGGAAATTGAAGAAAAGAGGATTTTTTTCTGTCGATCTGTCGTCGATTGACAGATTGGATTGTACGTAGAAATTGCTAAACTCACCGCTTTATTTCGTAGAGGGAACAACAAATCCTCTGATTTTTTACACGATCGGTAGTCCAGAAGGTTGAAGAGACAAATACATTAGGTACAAGGTACTGTGCTTTTCTATTCTTTTATCAACGTACTACATTATCGGCAGTTGATGAAATAATTCGTCTAAACGATTTACCTACGTGCTTCGGACGGATGGATCGATCGTATCGTGACTTCTCTATGGGATCGATCGATGTGGACGGTTGTCCGTCGCGATTCGAGTAGAATAGTTGTCAGAATTTTGAGGCAAGGTGTCAGAAAAATATGACGGATACACGGATAAATGTGTACGGAACGTGTCAGTTTGGTAAACCCTCTTAGAATTAGATGGACTATACGGACAAAGATGAGAGATGTTAGCAGTTTGCTCGTTGGAAATTTATCTCTCTTTCCTTATACATATCGTAAGTTTTTGTTTGATCGCGATCGAGCGATTGTTGGATATTAGGAGAGTAGAGAAGGAGAGCACGCGCTCGCCATCTCGACATTTATCGTCCCGTTTGTGGCACGTTGCGCTTTGCGACGTTCCAGTTCTCCACGATGTACATATGTACATACTTACATACTTACGTATATACGTAGGATGAATAAATGAAAGGACTCACGAAAGCAGATTTATCATCGTTGGCCGGTTGGAAATGGCGCGATTTCAGTTTATGCCCGCGCAAACGGTTAGACGCGACTTGGTGGAAGATGATGTTGGCGAAACACGCGACGTTACGACAGTAATCGGTTTGCTGCTCGTCTCTTGGCCCAATACGAAATCCAAAGAACGATCGTCAAGCGAACAGACAACATCTCTGAATATACGCGCATGTAAGTACGTACTATATGTACTATCTACTCTTCTCCCTATGTTTCTTTCGTTATTGTAACGCGTTTCTAGTATTCTAGTATTGTAAAATTGTAGCGTTGGAAAAAGGTTAATTTCGAAGGGTGAAAGAATGAAGGAGAAAGAGAAGGGTAAGGACGGCGACGGCGACGGCGACGGCGACGATGCGAGACTGGAAGAACGGTGGAAAACTGTAAGAAAGAGGAACGGTTCTGCGAATATTTTGTGTATCGCATTGGCAAGATGGATGGAAAGGTGTAACCAGGTACGAGAGGATAAATCAGATGGAAATGTGAACGATTTGATTTTGCCGAGCAACGAAGATTGGCGTTATCGAGTCTATTACCGTTTGGTCGAATTGCAAAGAGAATGCGACAACGTAGGGGAAGAAAGGTGATTCACCGAACTGTTTAGAAATTACGCATACATACATACGTCTCCTCGAGGCACCGTGTCACCGAGGTGTTAACTCTGCACAATCGTGTACGTTATTTTGTTTCTACATCGAATTGAATTTGTCTCCGTTCGACGTTGGTTCGATTCACGCTTACTTTTCGTTTGGTTATCGCGATTTCGTACGAATCGTTGGATCGTTGGACAAGCAAATATACAAACATGTGATAATAACAATATTTGATACATAGTACATATAGTATATACATATGTATGTATGTATGTGCCTATAATGGAGAAGTAAGTAAGGATGGGTGGTGGCGTGAAGAAAAAGTGGTGAAATTGAAGGGTCGCCGAAAGCAGGAGACTGGCAACGGAGGAGGGGTCGAGAAAGAGTAGCGGATATTGGGAATGGGAGCCGAAAAGGCGGGTGTACGATTTAAAGGGTTTGCCTAAGAGAGAGGTAAAGGGATCGGCGAGGAGCGTTATTCGACCAGGCTGGCGGATCAAGGATATCCTGTTGGCAGCGGAAGTTCTTGGAAAAGTACAACCTCCTCCTATATACTCGGACGAGGCTGAAATGCGCCGAGTGTTCGGACTGGTTTACGACGTTCTTAGGTGTAAGTCCCTCTTCGAACTATCGTCCTATTCGATTCTATCCTGATTTGATTCTCTCTTCAGACAAAAGGATATTCACCCGTGCTCTCGAGGATATAGGATTTTGGCGATACAACGACGCGATCAAAGATCGAGAAAAAATGGTGTGGTTGTTGCTGTACGATATGCAAGGGAGAAAATTTGCGAGACTGCCTCCGGCGGAGATGGTGGCGATGGAGGAAAGGGAGAAAATGTTTCAGGTAAGAAACATGGGGCTTTTAATTTTATTCGGTAGGTGTACATATGTGGTTGTATCGGCTATGTATCAGGCTGCTGGATTGAAGGAGATCGAGAACGCTCTTCTCGAGGTGAAAACGCACGTCGCGGCGAGCATCTCACGGTTGCGTATCCGCGGCTCTGCCCTCAAGCTCGGTAATTATTTTCGATAAATCGGAATATTTCCTTCGTACTTACATTCTTATCGTACTTATATTGTTATCGGTGGGAAGACGAATTGCTGCCGACTCGTTTACGCGTAATCGAAGGTGTGCGTTGGACGGAAGAAGCTGCGATCGCGTCCGGATGGATAAACACGGAGAAAGTGCGCAGCAAGGAGGAATTTTTGGAAGAGATGTCCAAGCTGAATTTGGTTTGCTGCTGCGAAGAGGGAGATGCGAGGGAACTGGAGGAAATGGAATTTCGATGGACGTTCGATTCGATTTGCCCGAAGATGGTGAACTTGGAGGAGAGGGCGCGGGAGACATTGGCCGTTTCCACTCTGGTTCGTGATCGTCGTTTCGTATTTCTGGTAGGTGGTTGGTTGGATGGGGGAGGATTAGGTCGATAGGTAATCGGATTGGTTTCTGTTGGAACGAGCAGGAAAGATCGTTGTGCTTGGGCGCGGCAACGTTGGCACGAGCGATTCGCATCGGCCGGCTCTGCGGCCCGGTCGTTTTAACGCATTCTCTCGCGCCTCGACACACCGGATACCTGGCCGGACTGTTGGCCGATATCGAGCACGCTGGTACACTTTTCGCCTTCGGAGCTGCCGATCACCGTTCCGAATACGAGACTTATTTGAAACACCTCGACGGCGGTGGCGTCACTTTGCTGCAACGGTGTCGCGTCTTTTCCGAAAAGTATCCTCCTCTTATCTCTTCCTGGGCGTCAACGTGCCAGTTGGAACGAATCTTTCAAACCGATCGCTGTCTTTATCTCTTTAGGTACGTATCTGATCCGGGGATCGGTGAGTTGGAGAGGGCTACCGTAGTTTTGGCTGTACCGTCGTGCAGTTACACGGGCGTTACGGATATCGTGGACCTCGCGGTGGCACGCGGAGGAGACGCGGATCTCCTCGAATCGTTGACGAACGCCGATCACGAGCAGTGGCCAACTATCTTGGCCGATCAGATGTCCACTTTGAAGTACGCCTTGACCCGGCCGAACGTACAGTTCCTCGTTTACCAAGTGCACACGATTTTACCTTCGGAGACGACAGATATGATTCGAGGTGTGGTAGATTGCGTGAATCGAATGGCCGTAGAAAAATACATTCGGGAACATCCGGTAAGTTTCCACTATGTGCTTCCCCAACTTTATTCTTTCTTTATTCTTTATTCCTCCTTTTTCTTCCGGCAAGAGAAAAGCTGCCAAGTTGGAATCGCGGGGAGACGATCGTGCCTCGACGACAGTTACCGGCAACGTTGTCGTAAGAGACAGTTACCATATTTTATTATACTTACTTTACACGCCTGACATACAGATTTCTGACAACTTGTAAGGTTCCGGACAGCGATCTTTTCGAGGTGGGCAGCATCGAGGATATTTACGGAGAGAATGCTACACGTATGCTCGATCCAGGATGCTTTCTCGCGATAATAAAAAGAAAGGAAATGATACAATTCGACTCGGTATTCATGATCAAAGTGGCAGAATCGAAGGGGTTGTTCGGTGATCCGAATGTAGGAGCAAGCAAGGCTCCGAAGCAACGGTGTATCCTGGAACGTTCGCTGCTACCACGCTCCTCGCAAACTAGCGCACGAAAACAAACAAAACGCGCGAAAGTGCGTGTTTCGTCTTTCGTCTTTCGTCTTTCGTCTTTCGTATGCGCCTTTATCTTCTTTCCTATCCGCGGCTTTTCCAGATCGATCGGTTAACGGCGCACACACATTCCTCGCTGTCGAGAAGCATCAAGCAAGAAAATCGAATTTGTCCCAGGCATAAACGGTGGTGTAGTAATTGGAGAGAGAGTACCGAGTCGCAGGTATGCGGAGAAAGAAGAAAGAGAACGTCCATCGAAATATGTACATACTTACATAAATACATATGTCCTTCCTTACGATCAGGTTCCTTACGAAATTTCTAAGAGCGAGGTTACAACTGGTAGTTGGTCGAACTTGGCCGTTTCGTTGCCGAATGCGAGGCGAGATGAAAAGGAAAGCGGGAAATCGTCGCGGAAGAAGGCAAGTTTGCGTGTAATTGTCAGTTAATTTGTACCATCACTCTTTTGGGGTTTTCGTTGGAACAGGAATTACGAATGATTCGCTCGATGTTCTCGCCACGATCGCAGTTCGATGCGGCGGCGGGGGCGGCGATCTTGAAAACGGCGTTGCAACCGGAACAAACTTCGTCGATACTGACCAACTTACTTACCATCAAACCCCTGTTACGGTAAGCCTTTCTTTTTCTCCTTTTTAACGGTAGGTTTATACTTTTTCTCTTCTTGACAATCCCGTGGTAAACGAGAAGAACGCGTAGTACACTTAAGGAGGAGTGGAGGAACGATATCACGTCTAGCACGATCCTGAGATCGCCGATTCTCGCTAGAGCGGCGCGGCGTGTTCCACTGGAGACGAACGAGATCGAGGATCGCGAGGAAGAGAAAGTTGAGGCGGGATCGAAAAGGAGCCTCCATTCGCGGTGGACAACGAGGAAAACGTCTCGACTCCTACATCCTGCTGGTTCTCCCTCGAACCTCCTCGATGACTCGTTTTCGTTCGATCTCGTGTAAGGGGGGTGCAATCGAAAATCTAACATACGTACATAAATAAATAAATAAATAAATTTCATTTGTCGTTGAATTGCGTTGCTTGATAGATATTGTCTTGGATAATATCGACGATCGATTCGGAAACCCTTCAGGCGGTAATCATCTCGACTGTTGTTGATTAACCAACGACAAATCAATTTGGACGAATTGGAATCGAAGGGGATTTCGAGAAAATTTCGAGCGGAATATTTCGGAAAAGAATGTATCTGTCGAGGTTGCTGCGCGGTCGCTCGTCCCAGCGTCGATTTCTTTCCTTTCCACGTTCTAGGGAAATGTCGAAAAAAATGAGAGTAGAAACGGTAAAGTTTGACGTTGATAGATCGTAATGGATCGTAATGGTAATAGAATACGCGTGTGTTAGAAATACGAGTTGTATCGTTTGGAGAAGGGACCAAGTCAGGAAGCGTGGATGAACGACGAAGAAGCTACTTACGCGCTGAAAACGATGAACTACATCAGAAGAATGGAAAACAAGGCGGCGGAGTTGTACAGATTGCGGTTGATCAACGGTTTCCTTCATTTGTATTCTGGCCAGGTAGAGTATAACTGGAGGAGGAGAAGGAAGGAGAAAAGAAAAGGAAAGGGAAAGGAAGGTGTTGCACGCAGGAGGCGGTAGCTGTTGGTACGAAGATGTCGATCACGGAGAAGGACAGCGTGATTACGGCTTACAGGTGCCACGGTTTCGCGGTGGTGTTCGGCGTGTCGGCACGGCAAGTTTTCGCGGAACTGATGGGTCGTAAGAGCGGAATCTCGAAAGGAAAAGGTGGCTCGATGCACATGTACGCGAGGCAATTTTACGGAGGCGACGGGATCGTCGGTGGTCAGGTACCGATCGGCGCCGGGTTGGGATTCGCTCACAAGTACAACGGCACAGGCGGAGTCGCGTGGGCATTCTACGGAGACGGCGCCGCGTCCCAAGGTCAGATCTTCGAGGCGTACAACATGTCGAAATTGTGGAAGTTACCGGTGGTGTACGTATGCGAGAACAACTTGTACGGTATGGGCACGGTGGTGGACAGACACTCGGCCAACACCAACTTTTACGCACGTGGCGATCTTATCCCAGGAGTGAAGGTCAGTTATCTCTTCCTTCCTTCCTTCCTTCCTTCCTTACTTCCGCTCTATTTATGTAGGTAGACGGGATGAGAGTGACGGCTGTTCGCGAGGCGGTCAAGTTCGCCAGGGAGTACGCTGCTCGGGACGGGCCGATTATCCTCGAGATGGTCACCTATAGATACTTTGGGCACAGCATGAGCGATCCCGGTACCTCTTATCGCACTAGAGACGAAGTGAAATCGGTCCAAGCCGAACAAGATCCTATCCAGTTACTGGCCAAGCAACTCGTGGAGAACGGTGTGAAAAGCGAAGAGGAAATTCGAGTAAGATCGCGATCCTCCTTTCCTCTACCCCCAATTTCCTCGAACGTTGCCCCTCTGCCAGACGATTCGGGATAGCACGTACAAAGCGGTGGACGAGGAACTGGAACAAGCGAAAGCCGACTCGTTTCCGGAAATGTCCGATATTGCGGCCGACGTTTACGTGAACCCGTTGGAAAAAGTGCGCGGCAAAGTACCCTGGGAAACTCATTAAACGCCGATTAACGATTTTGTACACGACCAAATAAAGTTTCTTTGTCTCGTTCGTTTTCTTACTTTGTCAATTGGAACGATCAATTAAACGAACACGTCGCGCGCTACGTCAGATCGCGGTCGAGACACGGAGGAAAGGGAAAGAAGAAGAGTAGGAGGAGGATTGTACTGCGAACGTGACGAGGATAGTCTAATTTACTAACGCAGAAGTGAATGCTCGAAGAGTGAGTCAATCGTGGTTTGTGGTGTTAAGTGGTGGTGGTTGCGAGAAAGAACGAGAGTGAAACAAAGGGGAAAGAGAGATGGAAAGGGAAGAAAAGGCGAAAGAGCGAGGGGACAGTCTTTGCGGGAGTCCCCTTCGGCTGCTCCCACGTGCAGTTCAGCTCGTTCAATCTTAACGAGAGCCTTTCTTAGTTCTTAGTTCTTCACTTAGTTCACCACCGCGAATAAACAATCCACTTGGATGAAACGAATACGCTATATCCATACGCTAAGTGCGGATATTTGTCGCGAGAAATCAGGTGGAAAAGTGAAATGTCGTCGCTTCGTCGCTTCGTCGACCGTCCGATCGGCGATCGATCGTAAACAGAGATGTTAAAAACGCATAATAAATAAACAAGTATGCGCGATCGATACGACGAACGTTCGTTTGGTCACGTCGAAAATATTATAGTCGCGAATCTAATCGATCAAGTTTGAGAGAGGAAAAAGGTTCGAGCCCGACGAGGATAGTCCGTAATCGGGGTGACGCCTACTCCTTGTCGTCTATCTACATACGGTATGTATACAGCGCATCCTCTCAAATTCTGATACACGTATCTACACAGATGTAGAAATAGGTACGTAGACGACGAATGATTGAAGAAAAATGGGAGTCGATACGGAAGTTACCGGTATACTCCGGGGTAAGTTTCGATCGATTACTATCGAATCGGTACCGATTTACGTTAATCCTGCATTTTCCTCCTTCTAGATGTTGTGCAATTCTTGGAATGTCTCCGGGAAGTGAAACTTCCGATTAGCTTGGAGAGCATTCGCGACAACTTGCTGATACGTTCGAAAAATACGCTGACCACGACGTTCGCGGTGGATAGAATCGCGTCTCCGGAACCGTACTTGAATATGAACGCAGCCGGTCCGAAAGGCTTGATTAAGGCGACGTTGAAAACGGAAGCCGAGCTACAAGAGTACGTACGGGCAGAGGAACAATCGCCGCAAGATGGTTATTACGAGGCTTTCCAGCCGAATCCAATCGAATCGAGTAATGGTGCCGCGGTCCAGGTCCAGGCCCAGGTCCTCCAAGCAGCCGATAATATTCGAAATAAAGAGGATCGTGTGGAAAATACGCTGGTAGAGATTTACGCGAGCTTTACCGCAGCACAAACGAAAAGTAAGTGCCAAATCTGCGGCTCCCTTATTAGGAAAGAAGGAAAGAAATTGTTCGTTTTCGAACAGTACCGAACGTGCTGGGTCGGTAAGTGTCGTCGTATTCGATGCATGCGTGACCGCGACGATTCCACGTCGCAGTGAAATTCTTAATGCAACGGAACAGTTTCTTTGCAAATATCCTAGGTTTGGTCGGATCACATTTATTGATTTACGGAAACGTTCGAGATAATCGTCCATGCACCATTTTACCGATTCGTGGTTACATGGCTCGTGCTGCTCCTAATGCCACTCCTCGAGATCAACGACGAAGCGAATCTACTTTTGAGATTTTTCGTCCCGGTAACAGGACCTTCCAGGTAAGGAAAACCAAAGGAAAGAGGTTCTCCAATCTTTACCGTTACGTTCTTTCAGTTTGTTGCGCAAACTCCAAAGGACATGGAGGAATGGGTAAGGAAAATTTGTGAATTAGAAGGAGGGGAAAAAGGCGAATATAAACATGACTTTCCGAAAATTATACCGCCACCCTATCTTGCCCCGAACACCGACATCGGCCAATCGAACAAAGAAGATCGATATCAAGAAGTAAGTTCGGACAACCTTTCCGAACAACCTTCGATCCTTCCTTCCAACGACAAGGAGGATACGACAGATGCACGAGGGGACGATATTTCTTCCAAGGATGCGTTGTCTTCCTCTCCTCCTCCCCCTCCTTCTCCATCGCCGCCACCTCCTCCTCCTCCTCCTCCTCCTCCTCCTCCTCCTCCTCCTCCTTCTTCTTCTTTTCCTCCTCCATTACCAGCTCGTATCCCCCGAACATTACCCTCCTTACCTCTTCCTCCTCGTTCGTCTTACGAATTTCCCGATGAAGAAGAGGACGACATTTATCATAAGATCGAAGACTTCAGAGAAACGATGCACTATGGAAATATCGATGAAACGTCCTTTCAAATTAGATCCGACGAGGATAAATCGACGAAAGAATCCACAACTTACGACGATGTTCGAGCGAGCATTCGAAACGAAATCAAGTTCGAAGAGAGGAGTAAAAGAAAGAAAGATCTCGCACGAAAATCGGTTGGCTTGCAAGCCGAAGAGACCTACGACGATACTGTGTCGAAAGATAATAAGGTTGTCGACGAGTGCGACAAATTTCTACCGTACGACAATATACAGGTTAGGGTAATATACCCTTTTCTTTTCTTTTCTATTCCTCTCACTTTTAACTTCAACTTTCTCTATCTTCTTCCGTTTTTTTAGAGTGCGGTGGTATCGAACGCAAAGGTTCGAGAAACGGACAAATCCGACGAGTCGACAAAATCACCGCAAAAGAAATCATTTTTGGATAGGGTGAGAAGCAAGAGAGAATCGCCAAAGAAAGTTGAGAAAAAGACTAAACGTAAAGTTGCGGTGCCGCAGTCACCACCGCCACCTCCACCGCCCTCGACGGTAAAAAGCGAAGAAGCGCCAACCTATTACGACGACGTATGCGATCTGATCAATGTTCAACAGGAAACGAAACGTTTCGAAGAAGAACAATCGGAATACACTTGTCCACCACCACCTAGACCGATCTACGGAAAACCACCGGCGATCGTCGATGCGACCGATCCGCAGGAATTTTACGATGACGTTGCCGCCTACCGAGACAAGTCTGCAGATAATGGCCAAACCTCTAAATCAGATCAGGTAACGTTCTTCGTTCGTCCCTTCGATCTCCTCCCCTTATATACCCGTCTTTTTTTATCCTCGCTAACTCGATCAATTTTCAGAAAATTTTTAGAAACTCCAATTACCTTTACGATCCTGTTCGTATGGACGCCACTGATCGGCCCGTTTTATGCGAAAATATCGACTATTCGCAAGAATCGTTCGAGGACAACGAGCATTATAAAACACCACGTGTCGAATCGCGTTTTGCTAAATACCTTTCTGACGATCAACAAGCCGAAGATCTGTACGATGATATCGCTATACTCGCAGATTTTACCGCAAGGCAGAAGGAAGTTACTGGTAAAAAGGACAATGAAGGTGTACCGAGGTCGCAAATCAACCTAGAAAAGAGGTCGTGGAATCGATTTGTTACCGGAAAAAAATCCAAAGTAACGGCAGAGTCGGTAGTTTCCGAAACGAACGGTCGAATATTAAAGAACGGAATTGATGATTTATCCGATGATCTCGCCGAGCACCACGGTTCCATGCGAATGAATACCTTTCAAAAGCTTTTCAGCAGAATGGAGAATTCTCTTGGCAAAACATCCGTTAGAACAGCATCCTCGATGCTATCAAATAAAACGAACGTAACCAATAATGCTTAATGCCCTGAGCAGAAAGGTCCAGAAGCAACGTTCGTTACCGAACCTTTCGACCAACCACTTTTTACACCAAATAGATATCATGTTAGATATACGATATAGATTCGTGTGATTCAAGTTAAATGTTCCAAACCAATTTTATTCCTTAATTATATCAGTTATATCCTAAAATTATCGATTATGCTAAACAAATTTCATCGTATCGTTTCTATTAGCCAACTTAAGAGTCTTCCTTTTTATAAAATTCATAAAACACCTATATCGTCACTGGAATATCAGTCTTCGTTTGGAAATTTTTCTCGTAAACATAGTATAAATAGTTGTAAGCGTTCACTGCGATCCTCGTTAACGATTCCACCATATCGGTACTGTGTTTTTGAAATGCGTTCAAGGGAACGCCTGTGTTCCTTTCTATATAATTCATAAACAATTCCGATTGCTTCGAATACAACGGAAGAATCACTATCGTCGGTAGAAATATCAGACCGAAAAGAAAAAGTCGTACAATCGTCGACACGAAGAATCGGTATGTACCGGTTTCTGAAATAAAAACATTATAATATCACTTAATTCAATTACCGCAATGGAACGTACAGTAAAGAAAAAAAACAAGTATCGTATTACCTTGAAATATGCGTTCTTTATTAGTATGTTTTGCAGTATGTGTTAATGTTGCAGTTTTTATTTTAGTTTCATCAATTCGCAGCGCTTCGCTCGAGCAATTAGATCCATTTTTATCCAAATTTTGCTTGTTATTCTTATCCACTAATTTTTTCTTTTTCTTTTTCCCCCCTTTTTTTGAGGATACTGTATCTGCGTCTGTATCTGCTGGAAATAGAAATTGTAATCCATAATGTGCAAAAATTATTTTTCAATTCCTGCTTTTCCTTATCTAAACATTACCTGTGATAGCATTTAATCTTCGTAACCTCTCCTCTTCGATGCTAAGTTTTACCTGTGACAAATATTTAACGATATTGCGAGCACATGCTTGACATTCGCTCAAATTACTACAAGGACCGGCGACAGTAGCCACTGCAGGAGTTAGAGGATTCTCTTTCAAATCTAACCACTTCAAGTTTTTCAATTCGCTCAAACTAAGTGGTAATCTACTTATCTGCAAAATAAACATACTTCTTTCAGACCTACTTTACAAATATTATTACACATATGTATTATTTCCACTCTACTTCGTTCGCATAGAGATCCAAATACTTCAGTTGTTTCAATTCCCCGAAATTTTCAGGAATTTCTGTCAGCATATTCCTACTAAGGTCCAATTTAACTATTTGCTTCAGATCAACGAAATTACTCTGAAATAAATTATCGTTGGAATGAAAAATATGTTATGCAAGTGAAAGTAACGAAATTGAAAAAGAAAAAAAAGAAAACTTACGGGTAAAGAAGTTAAAAGATTATTCGATAAATCTAAATGCGCTGCTTTTTTAATGGTTGCCTGGAAAAAATATATAAAGAGTATTTTAATATTTTGATTCAGACTTTCGTTCGCAAAACAATAAAGGGAAATATAAAGGACGTGGAATTTATAGATTGAATATGTATGAATTCGGTAGATTTAACTGAACGTGGACATTTTCAAACCGTCGGTATTAACTACGTACGATTTCTCGAACAGGTACTTCTTTCAGGTCGCATAAACTCAAATCCAGAGTTTCGTCTTTCAATCTATTCTTGACGCTTTTTAAATTCATTTTCGCGATATAAAAAATTAGTCAAATAAGGTTGCAGTAAAACATGGAAGACGTTTCGTATTCGTGGTTTTTCGTGGCGTCACCTTCTGGCAAAAAGCATATTGCTAAAAAGTTAAACGAACGTTATGTGAGACGACAGAACGATAAGATATTTTTTCCTCTTCTACTCGAATGATAGAAAATTTCATTTCGTTAGCGGAAAAACCTTCAACGGGTAATACATGCACGTGGCAGATGACCACCAATACCAAACGACCACGAATATGTCATTTTCAAAATTTGCCTGACAATGTAGCAACTTTGAAAATCACACGACTGTTGGTAGTACTTGGTCGGCGAATCAGCGAAACCACTACGTAATGTAATGTGACGTGTAAAAACTTTGTACCAGTGTTAACGAGAGTAGTTCTTCTATGCGTTTACAGTAGTTATGCTTGTGCTAATTGAGAGAAGGAAAAATTGACAAGTAAAAAAACATTTTGGTTTTAACAAACATTTGTGGAAAACGAGGGACACTGTCGAAACTGTCGTCATTTACTTGATTCTTCGAAAAATTTATGTGCGCTTCGACCTACTTTTACGTTGATTTTTCTACTCTTCGGTTAAAAATTTCTTCAATTTACTATGTCTACACGGTATATGAAAAAAGTATACGGCGGTGATGTGTTGTCCGAGAAGGATAGCGAAAATGAAAATGAGATGGAAAATTCGATAATTGGCAACGTTAAATCCAAAGCATTCAACTTGTTTGATGTAGTAAGTGCTTCAAATGCTTTGATAAATTTAATAACTAACCATTTCCATTTGCAAATTCCGTTTATGCGGTCACTTCAAGTTCAAATGATATCGTGTTAACATTTTTTTCATCAATTTGTTCAACGTTTAACGTTCTTCACGTATCATATTTCCTATATTATTTAATATAATCGTTGAATTTTTCTTATTTTTCTTATTTTTCCTTAGTTGAATCAAAATTCGGAAATCAGTGAGAAAGAAAACGAAGAAGAGCAAGTGATAGAAGAAAACTGTATCAATGAAGCTAAACGTAAAAAAAGAAAGAAAAGACGAAAGAAGTTAGATGGTTCTAAAGCTCAACAAATTATTGAATCTAAAGATAAGGAGGATGTAGATGAAATTGAAAGAACTGTGAGGGAAGTGAATAAATTGCTTGGAGAACCACTGCCAGGTTGTAGTTCTCAAAGCACGTATAATTTACAGTGGAACGAAGAAAAATCTAAAGAGAATATTTTGTTGGTACAACACAAACATTTAAATCCTTATAACGAACTTAAAAGAATTTTTGGTAGTAAGACTGTACAAGCTGAACAAAAGTATGTTTTTTTTATGTAATTTATGTTATTTAAATAGATATAAGGTAGAAAATAGGGTAATTATTCACAATAGGGGAGGATGACTTTCATTTTCACATATGTTGTTATTCGTAAAAAGTTATTAACGAATAATTGTCATTACCACTACAGCGAATTCTGCCTATACGTGCTCGGCCGTGGCAGCGTATGCGGCAGCATGGGACTGCCGCTTATGTACTATTTCTACAAACACATCGCGGCGGACTACAACCAATTTGTATAACGGGTGAACTAGCTGGAACCGAGAACTTACATTGCACGTTTTTCTTTGCTTTTTGCGTCCACGATGTACTTGTACATAATACATTTTAGTACAATGCACTAAAAGCGAATTGTTTGGTTTTAATTGAATCTCTTCATTGCATCGTGTACAAATAATGTGGGTCCGAAGCACTTTTTCTCGCGCTTAAGTAATTTATTAAATTATCGTAATTGTGGGTCAAATGAATAAATTCACGAAAAAACATTGTAGAATGTTCACGATTATACACAATTTTTAACAATTTTATCGCACGATACAACTCTCTTCGTAGCTTTTTTCTATCTAACTCTCAATCGTCGTCTCATCGAAACTGATCTTCACCGCCTTTATTTTGTTTTTCCATACATCTGCACCGACGTACGGGACGCGTAAGCTGCGCGGACGCACAATTATAGGTAGAATTCGCTGTAGTGGTAACGACAGTTATTCGTTAATAACTTTTTAACGAATAACGAGTGACAGCTAAAACTTTTTCGAGGTTCTTCAGGAGAATGCCCTTAACAGCATATGCCAAAATCAAGGTTATCGGAGCTGCCTCCTCTATGATGAATAATTACCGAAAATAGAAATAGAAACATACCTGAATACCTTCATTTCAATAGCAGTAGGAGACACAGAGGTCGTTTGGTTTACTTGAAGAGGACATGGTTGGTTTCTCCTAGATATAATTGGCCACCGCTTAATAAATCTGGCCTTTCAATGTCTTTAGATCACACTATAAAGTCTACCAATAATATTCAATATTTTGTATATGAACACAGTCTGTCATACAAACAAGTTCAATTAAAGTTTTTGCAAGCTGTTGAAAGCTTAAATCCTGAAAACATTGTTGTACGTCATTGTAAAATTTAAACATACTTTTGGAGGAATTATTTGAAAACTCGTATCATTAAACTCCTTACTATTTATTTCAGAGTATAATAAATGCACACTCCTATCATGTAGATGCATTGCTACAATTAGCTGAGCTTTGTAAGCTCAGTGAAAACTTAGCAATGGCTGCAGAATTTACGGAACGTGCTCTGTACTGTCTGGAAGGTGCTTTTCATCCTCTGTTTATCTTTACAACTCCTCTGTGCAGATTGGATTATAGAAAACAACAGAATCGTGCTCTGTTCATAACTTTGTTTAAACATCTTAATTTTGTTGGAGGACGTGCATGTTATAGGTACCAAAATGGAACTTTTATAATCCTAATCGTTTCGAGCTTATGTACAAGAACTTATTTATATTTCAGAACAAGTTTGGAATTTTGTAAATTGCTTTTATCACTTGATCCAGAAGGTGATCCTTTGGCAGTGATTCTGTCGCTGGATTTTTACGCTTTAAGAGCGAAAGAATACGAATGGTTTATCGAATTTTGCAATCTTTGGGATAGTGGGAGAAATCTAACACAACTACCAAACATAGCATTCAGTTTAGCTGTGGCCCACTTTCATTTAGGCAATCGAACCGTTGCTAGTGAACTTTTACAAAATGCTTTAATAATGTTTCCGGGTGTCCTGATGCCGTTACTAGAAAAATGTAGTGTACAATCCGATGAAACGGTACCTTTACATTATCACACTTTTAGGGACAATTTTTAATAAATATTTATGTAAAACTAAAGAGCGCTAATAGAAAATCTATCTTCCAGTTACGAAACCACGATTTCTTTAACAACAAGGCAATAATTTCGACTTCACCAGCGCTGGAAAAATTGCAAAATCTTTACGTTGCACGTAGCTTCCGTTTGTGGAAGGAAATAGATCTTTTACCATGGTTGCGTGAGAACGTGCATACCGTATTAAATCGCGTTGATTCGAAAGACGATTATATAAAGTACTGTGAAGTAAAACGAAGCAAGCGTTACCAAGGAAAACTACCGAAGAATATTTTACGTCATATTATACTGTCTGACATAAAAGACGTTACCGTAAACGTTCAAGAGGTATATGCATTTGTATATTATGTTTCATTTAGTTACTAAACTGTACTATGTTTTTTTATGGAATTGCAGATACAAAGTGATGGTTCAGTTCTTTCGTATGATCCTCTTCCACCAGCGGATAGTATTGATATTTACAAACGACCTACCACAAATGCCGGCACAACTAGAACTAGCTCCAATCTTTTATCCCTTTTTTTCTCATCTCTATTTACAGATATTAATGGAGAAGTGGCGGCAGCTGGCCGCGATGGGTTACATTTATTGTAAGTATACAGGGTGCCCCAGCCGAAGCAGGTCACCTAAATATTTCCTTCGTTTTTTATGATATGAAAAATATTTGTGGTTTGAGTCGAGGGATAATCTGAAAAAAGAATTTTCTTTTATCAGGTCATTGTTATTTTTTATGTGGCACACGTATTCTTTTTTTTTTTTTCATTGCATCTTGTAGCGGATGAAAGAATACATTTCAATATGTTCCACTCATGATCTTGAGATGACCCTCAAGTGACTTTAGAAGTGAAGAATGTAATATGTTTGTCCGAATAATAATCGAATTTACTATTTATGTTATTTAAGTGTTCGAAGTGATGTCCGTCGGTAGCGAAACACTTTCTGATTCGAGTTATTACAGCTTGTGATGCTTTCTCAATTGTTTCAGGTGGGATTGAAGTACAAGCATTAATAATACGATTCGCCATGTTTTCGGGAGTGGTAGGTCTCTGTTGATACACTTCTCCTTTTAATTTTCCCCACAGAAAAAAATCTAGCGGAGTCAGATCTGGTGATCGTGTTGGTGAAACTATGTTCCTATTACGCCCAATCCAACGATTTGGACACTTTCTATTCAGTACCTGCATAGCTACCCGTGAATAGTAAGCTGGGCAACCATCGTGCTTTCACGAATTCTTAGTGGTACCAATTCCAGTAATTCGTTTAACTCATTCGTTAAATATATTGCGTTTAATGTACCGTCGATAATAAGGTCCAATAAAGAAGGTCCAATAATAGTATTATTTAAAATTCCGCACCAAACATTAACTGTTTATGGAAGATGTTCTTCTACTTGTCTCATCCACCGTGGGTTTTCTATGGACCCGTAATGCATATTTCTAACATTTATTTGTCCGTGATTAGTGAAGGATATTTCATCTGTAAACAAGATTTTCATAACAAATGTCGCATCGTCTTTAAGTTGTTGCAACGCTCATCGACAGAAGGTGACGCGGTTTTCAAAATCTGAGACATGAAGTTCCTGGCGGAGAGACAAATGAAACGGATAAAATTTTTGAAGCTTCAATATTCGTGACACGCTTGATTTACTGATATTAATTTGTTGTACTAATTCTCTAACACTAATATGTGGATTTTAATTTATCGGCATGATTAATCGTTATCAACGGACATCACTTTGAACGCTTAATAACATAAATAGTAAGTTCGAATATTATTCAGGCAAATTTATTACATTTTTCACTTCTAAAGTCACTTCAAGGTCACTTCAAGGTCATGAGTGAAACATGCATATTCAGATGTATTTTTTCATTCGCTATAGGGTGCAATGAGGGGGGCGGGGGCGTTTTTCCACATAAAAAATAACAATGACCGTGAAAAAAAAAAACAAGAAAAAAATGACCAGATAAAAAAAAATTCTTTTTCCAGATTATTCCTCGTTTCAAACCATTAATACTATGTCACAAATTACTCTTATATCATAAAAAACGAAGGAAATATTTAGGTGGCCTGCTTCTGCTGGGACCACCACACTGTACATACATATATAATAATAATAATAATTGCAAACACATGATACGCGGATTTTTAATTTTTAGCTACGACAACAACGAAGATATATAAGGTTGATTCTTAATATCAATTGTTGATTACAACGTAGAATAAGAAATCTGAGTTTTATAGAAATTTTACTTCCAACTTTGATAAAACCATGTGAAAAATTATACACGTATAGATATTTTTCAAACATCGGCTACTTTCACGAAGCAAAAAAAGGGCATTACGTGTCAGGTAACATATCTACTATATAATCATGAACACTGCAAAATTATAGTCCTTTTTTACTATTATCATTACTATCATCATCATCATTATTACTGTTATCATGATATAATTGTCTCTTGAATATATATTAAAAACTTTTAATTGTATTCACATATGATCTTATAATTTTTGTTATTAATTCTTATAAAGTTTTGGAGCAATTATTACGTATCCAGATTTGAAAAAGTTGTAAATACGTAAAACACTATATGTATATATAATGTACTAATAAATAAACTATATTGTTGCAATGCTTGTATAGAATTACTTTTGATGATCATCTATCCCTTATCAACGTATCAATATATTGTACAGGACAGTGTAAAATACACCATGAATGTGATTCATTAAAAAAGAATTATTATTTTCAAATAGACTTATTTTATGTACAGATCTATACAATCCTTTTGTATCGTAACTTTATTCACTATTCTTAACCATTACCTCTAATGGAGTGTTATCATCATTCTTTTGAGTGACTTTCCCTGTATTTTTATTACATGTTAATGAGAACATTTTATTACAAATTAATGAGCATGAAAACATCTTCGTGTGCGTTTCCTAGTAGAATACTGGGCGTTTCTCTGTAATTACTTCAGTTAGTAATTATGTCGTAAAAACACTTGTTCCATCTTATCAAATACATCGTCGTTGAAGGTGAAAAAATTGAAAATGCAACAAATTATTGACAGAGCGTTGAAAACTTCGAAAGACCATTGGTCCAAGATAATGTTATTTTCTTAACGCTATTTATATTTTCCTTCTGTTTTTTTACACCATACTATGGAATACGGGATTGTAGCGGCAAATTCCAGGGCCGTATTCCTGATAAGCTTTTTTGGTATGGCATACCGTATAAAATTCTGGATCGCTAGCCAACAAAGCACCGCCATACCACACGGCCCAACGTTGCTTATGATGCGATATAACATGAACGTCTATAGGTTTTGGCTGAAATGCAACGAAACGCAAACACTAATGTTGCATGGTATTTTTCGGATTTAATAAGTTTCAAAATTATATCTAGGTTGTATAAAAAGAAATATGTGTTACCGTAATAAGACTTCCACTTAACGTTTCGCTAAGTTTCAAACGTGCATCTACGATGCGTTTTATATCACGTTGTAATCGCCTACCAAAGTCTTTGAACATCGTAGAACCACCTGACAGTACAATATTACTATACAATGGTCGTCTAACATCTATTGGACAATTCTGGATTACGTCGTCGACGATTTCGCTCAGTGGTGTCGTGAAATCTGGATTGGAGAACTGAAGAATGCAATGATGAAATTAAACATGTATATAGAAATGCTATTTTCTTGAAAACCTGACGTTGAATGGACATACTTCGGGATGGAAAAATATTTCTGGACCAAGGAACCTTTCATAACCAACATCTACTACAAAAGGTTGCTTTGTGATACTGTTAACGCCTTCGTATTTTTTGATTTTAGTAGGATCACTGTCGTATTTAGCAAATTCTTTTGAAATATCAGGACATATGTAACAATATTTTTCTTTTATTGCTTTAGCTGTTTCTAATGATTGTTCAGGTGGTATTCCAATTTCACGTTCTCTTAAAAGACTTTGAATAAAATATGTAATATCACGTCCAGCAATAGGAATGTGCTTTATACAGCTTCCTATGACAAAACCTTCTGCCTAAGGGACAAAGTGAATTAATTAATTAAAAAAAATTTGTGCAAAATCAAACTTTGTATTGTTTTCTTTTCGTACTTACTACTGGTATTACATGTGTTACTCCATCCCCACTATCAACAACAACACCTGTTAATGTTCTATCTTCTACGGATTTAGCTGTCCAAGAGGCAGCTAATGCCAGCACTGCTTGCACAGCAATATAAAGACCTGGCACATTAAACGATTCAAACATTATCTCTGCAGTGTATTCTCGATTCTCTGGAGTATTTAACGGTGGTTCAGTAAGTAAAAAATAATGATCTTCAGGTTCTGCCCTAAGATATTTGAAAATACATTGCTGTAGGAATTTTTCCATTAAATCCCAGTCTTCCACTAGTCCATGTCTAACTGGATACTAAGTAAAATTGGATATAAATTGTAAAACAATTCAAAGGACCGATTGTATAGGGGTAATAATATTGATAAATACTTTTACAGAATACCCAGTGGCTTCGAAAGCTTCATCCCCAATATAAGCATCTAGATCTTCAACTCCTTTGGTAACCCTTCTAGCATTGGTATCTCCAACCTTTGCAGTTTCTTTAATAGCAATTGCAGATGGTATTATGAGTTGAGGTTCTTTATTGCCTGCAAAGCCTAGCTTTGTATAGCTGTGAAAATTCAAATAGACTTTCTCAGTTAAAAAGAAAGAAAAAGTAAATAAATGACAAGAACTCATACGGTACATATAATTATAAATATATAGATGTTTAAAATACACATAGAAAATTATGCAAATTGTATGAATGCAATAGAGCTGAACGTCAGCAATTGTGGAAAAAGTACAAAAAGAGAAGAGAAATATGGTACACGACGTTAAATAAATGTGACATTTTTCTAAGAGCATTCATCTACCGCATAAGATGTCATGTGTCATTAGTCACACACTAGTTTATTTATTCTAGTTGAGATTAATTTTTTAATTACTTACCCCGTACCCACGTCGATTACACATGCAGGAAGACGGCCGAGCATCGTGTTCTTATTGTTACAATCGATTTGTACCTTTATTATAATGAAATATACCTTAACTGCAATTCAAATTTAACACACACCCGTTCCAATTAACCACACCTCGGTTTGGAGATAAAGCAGAAGCACACTTTAAGCACTGTTTACAATAAGCGAAATTCTCCTTGATAGATTGTCAAAAATGGAAACTTATCTTGTGAGAAATGAACGCGACAACTACAATGGAAACTCTCTCTGGCAATGAAATGCATCAAATTTTATGGAAGTTTATTATGTCTTTCTTTTTTCTTTTGCTTTGTCAAACAAATCAACGATCTGGCCGGATAAGAATTTTGCACTTTGAAAGAAACCATTGTTCAGAACTTAAAATAAGTTGCGTTTTTAACCAAATAAGCTAACCAAATTGATTAACCAATCATTCGGAAAATAATTTTATCAACTACTGTAACACTAGATCGAACATTGAAATAAATTGAAAGAAGACATTGAGATTTAAATAATCAAGATTTTATAATATTTCATTCACACATATCGGTATAATAATACAATATTGATGATACATACATAGTAATCACAAATATACAAAAGTATACAAAATATTATTTGTTCTTCGTATTTATTTCTCTTATAACGTAGACTTAAATGGCAATGAATTATGTCATAGGAGTTAAATGTTTTCATGGAGGAAAAAAAAAAAAGATGACTTAAATACAATTTCTTTTGCACGTATTTATGGAAATTTTTATGGCACTCATAGGTCCTCCCGTTTTGGTTTCATTGTGTTTTGTTTACCAAATACAGTCGTAGAGTCTTCTGTATCGCTGACATATCCTTGTTCGCCAGTGTAATGTGTTGGATAAATTAATAAAGGATTTGCGGAGAGTATTATCAAATTTCGTTTTGGATAGTGTACTTTCCAATCTTCCCTGTATTGAAAAAAGTAGTCGACGTAAAATGCAATCCGCTTCGTTAGGGGCGGCCCGCTTTGGCAACTAAAATAGTTTTATGTTCTTTTGTTTTACCTAGGGTGAGCATTGGACAATATCGGAAGATACTCGTCGACAGGTATTAATTTTTTTAACGGCATTGCTTCTAGGAGTTTTCTTGCCCCACTCGCCGACAAAATGTATCCTAACGTCCAGTAACTGTAGGCAGCATGTACTAAATATTTTGATCCATCGACTCGAGATTCAGCATTTTCCACTAATCTTTTTCTTCCTAAATAGCTGGACGTAGCACATGAAATTTTACATTTTACACGTCGATGTAATAAAATGTTGTGACCTTATAAAATATTCAATACTTACACCAAATCCCATTGAAACTGAAGGTCATCCAATTCTTTTAAAATGTACTTTACTTTTTGCCGAAAGTACGGTTCAAATCGAACATCGTCCTCTAAGATTATAATACTTTTGAAACCACTTTCTATTACCTGATAATTTTCCAATCGTTTAATATAAGTTCAGCGTATGTAGAAACACTCGGTTAAAACGATTCGTTTCTCTAATCTTATAATTACCTTGTTCCAAATAACGTAATGACTTAGAAAACAACCGATTTCACCCATAGTCATTGGTCTGTGATTGTTTTTTTTTTTTTCTTATTTTTAGATGTTTAAAATGCGTTGATTTAGTAACGGGACCGACTACATCATGTACATACCTATTAATATCGATACATATCAATTCCCGAGCATGTCACTTGACGCTAACGTCGAAATAAATAAATTTAGCGAGAAATTCTATGCGAAAGAATACGACCTTTTCCAGTTAACATATTATGTCCCTCGAAATAGGAATATTTTAACGTGGCCTTATATCTAAAACTAGCACTATTTTATTACACACATTGTAATTACGAATTATGTATAATAAGAATTAATTCCCTTTCCCTTAGGTCATTTCTGCAAATAAACTGCTTCTTCCGTACGAGTAAAACGAATTTTTCGTCGTTCTTAATTACGTCTTGTCTCATTCACGATCAATTTTCAAGTGAAAATCATCGAACAGGTATCAGACTTGACATAACTGATATGTATTGATACGATAGGTGTTTCTTTGGATCAAATCGTTCGTAAACGTATAGTAGCTGCAGAAATACTATAGGGTGGTTGCAAAATCGAAAATTACACATGTTCCCAGCGTTGGAATTTAGGCGATTTAGGCGATAAAGTAGAAGAAAAAAAAGAAAAGAGCTCGAGTATCGTGTAATGCAGAAATATTAAAATTCTTCCAGATATTCCAAATATTAAATACAATTTACAATTATCCTGCAGTAGGTAAATTAATTTAGTAATGAATTACAGTTAGTTGACAGTGTTTCCCGTTTTATTGCACGGGACCATGCAATTACAAGACACTGAGTACCGCGGCTTGATGCGACAATTTATGACTACGCTATATTTCTGCAGTTACTATACCTTACAATGGATTGAAATACAAGCATTAACTTCAAAGGTAAAGGTATCGCCGATGGTGTCAAAACAGATCTCAAGTCCCGTCACTGTTCGTAACTTTTATCGTACTTACCTCTCGTGATAAGGATCAGTATATTCCGACATCATTTCAATTCCAAAATTTTCAAGAACAGACTGATTTAATGCCCTGAATAAACGAATATATAATACGAATAATTTTAGTTTTACCACAGACGACGGTACTACAGGACAGACCTAAATAGCATCTTACATTCTCATCTTATAGCATTTTCGTGTGTCTTTCGCTCTCAACGTTACCGATTCAGGATAGAATACGATTACAACATTAGTAGTGGTTGGAATTGGAATTAAACGTAACTATGAAATTACAAATAAAAAATTAGCGTAATTGTTTATTAGTAGATGATTCATCCATCCATCGCATGCGCGTGTTCTACTGCTGTCAAAAGATCGCGAATAGTTCGACCTAAGCAATTCAATATATGTATTTATCTTTATATGCAAATTTAATAAAAGAAGATACTTTTACATTTGTCGATCTTACCATCTTTGATGGTTGGATTGTATGTAGTTCCTAAACTCACCGCTTTATATCGTAGAGGGCACAACAAATTCTCTGATTTTTTACACGATCGGTATTTCAAAACGTTGAATAGAAAGATACATTAGGTGTTAGGTTTAGCCTGTACCGCGTCTATGGTTTTATTTTTAGAAACACATGAAATACTATTTATGTGTATGCATACAGATAATTCTTTTGTCACTGACTTACCTACCGTCGACAGCATCAACAGTTTTCACTCGAAGTCCGAGCTCTTTAAAAAGTCTGTGCATTCTATCTCGTCTTTCTGGCCTTCTTAACAGATTTATCATATAAATACTATCCACTTCTAATGTATCTTCGACAGGATATTGTACAAATTGTTCGAGGTGCATGGATAAAGGTAGATAATTATCATCCGCTGAAAATATGCAATGTTCCCGTTGTAATTTATACATATCATTCGTCTATTTCGAATTCAACTTTCTTCTTTTTCCTTAATCAGTTCTCAACTTACCTAATATTTCTGTCTTAATATTGATCAGTCTTAGTAGATCTTCCGTGATCGTTTCTCCTTCTTCCAACGGTACCATGACAAACCCATAAATGTTATCGTTACAAACGAATAATGAGACGCCTAGCGTGAATGTGAAGAAGAAAAAAATTGGAAAAAACACGAAATAGAGAAAATACTATTAAAACTTCGTCACTAATTTACCAGATTTATTAGCACCGACGGCAAAAGTTATAATATCGTCCGTAGGGCCATCGTATTCATTCAAATTTTTCGGATCGTACGTCAAACGATCTGAAAGGTGTTTTCTTAAGTCTATAAGTACCGCGCTATGAATCATAGGCACGTTGAAACATCCTTTTTCCTCCCGAAACAAGATTGGTTCGTATTTTTCAGTTCGCAAGTAATAGTAATCATCGGTCATACCAGCCCAAAAATTGCTGTACAAACCATCAGATTTTAACAACGGTGCAACAACAGTTTCATTTTTTAATATTAATTCGTCAAGAGTATTCGGATTCGTTAGAAAAACGTCTGCATCGAGCAGCTAAAATTGTACACAAAGAATACAATTAATCATAATATATAGGCGTAAGTGTTTTAAAGATGTCAATAAACAAACAGAAACACTGAATTTTTAACATAAAAATAAATAAATGTCAAATTTTTACCCAAATGAAATCTGCCCACATATTTCTTCCCTTGTTAAGTGCATCCTCCCGTAAATTTATCAAGTGTAAAAATCTTTGTGTTGACCAATGAGCAATTCCATTTTCATCTTCAAATCCGCTTGATTTTTCATCGAGATTTATTTCTATTCCATGATACTCGCTACCTTCGTGGTTTAGCCATGTAGATAATATTTCAGTTGATTTATCGACATTATTATCGCTACATATCCTTTAATAAAAAAATGCAAAGTTTTGTTATAATAATTTCCAATGTAACTCACAAGTATACTGAAAACTATATATGTTAAAAAAAGATTGAACGTATAATCGCTGTACATATGTATGTATATCGAAACGTTTCAGCTATCGAATTATGTATCACTCGCGCACCCGCGGTATATTATTCCGCATTAATACATACTCTAGCGGGAAATTACAACTTCTTGAGATTTCTGATATCGTGTAATTAAGAAGTATACTCGATGAGATTCAAAAGTTTTGTTTTTGTTGACAAATTTTCAATGACCAATTTTATTCAATCAGTGCAACATACTTTATTTAAATTCAAAACGATAAATTTGATAAATTTATGCGATATACGTAATATTTGAGATTATTCTTAATTATACATATAATACACCTCTGTGACACATTCACATTATGAATTTATATCTTAATTTTGTTCTTTTAGTTGACCAAAATGAATTTACACTCTAAACGCTTAATTACACATTATGATCCTTTTGATTTTCATCGCATACATTTACCGGAAAAGTGAGGTTACGATATGTATACTTACCAGAGATGTATTCGTTCTTTAGGATAATTCAGTTGTTCCAAAAAGGTCAAGAAGTATGGTAACGTGTGTGCCTTATTACGTACTAGAATCGTTATTAAAATTGTTGGTTTTTTTAAATCATTGGAACAAATTGTCATAAACACGGTAAAAAGAACGAAGATGATAACCCGAGTAGAATTGACTAATCTCATCTCTGTTTCTAGCTTTGTACAATGCTTTTTAATACCTTAAAATTTTGATTATTTATCCGTGTTAAAAAAAATTCAACAAAGGAACACTAAATGATTAAAAATATCGTATACACGTCCTGTCTTCACCGTGTTATTCATTACTGTATTCCTTCTGATAACATTTTACCACCCACGTTAAGGGCATATAGTCGATAAAGCAGTAAACTGTCTACATTAGTGATTTTTTATAAATCGCGAAATAAAGAATTATAATTTTTCTTTGCTACCTTTTCCTTCTTTTTTCAAATTTATATTTGCAGCAAAATTTAAACATATCTCTTTACACCGTCTACTACTTTAAGCAAAATACTATTTTTGTTTAATGTTGCAAGAAAAATTATGAACAAATGTTCGAAACTTGTGAAAAATTAAAATGTAGTAAGATTTCAAATTTTACGAACAACTGCGTAATGGAAAAAATATAAATTTATTTAACTTATTCATTACTACAATAATAATCGGTCAATTATATAACATCTGCTTGGTAAAAAGTTGTTTTACAAAACATCGTACGTTTTCACTAAATTATAGATATAAGCGCAACTTGTTCCTTACGACTAGATACAAAATTCTAGAAAACATCCAGAAAACGTCTGTGTTCCTTTTTAATTATTTTATTAAGCAGTCTTTTCATCACTTTGTTCTGTTGGCTGTTTCTGCGACCAGGATTTATCTTTTTCTCTGCATTTCTGTTTTACCTTTAACCTTGAGGTATAACCAAGACTTAATTTGTCAAATTCTAACAGCATAATACCTAAATCACCGCTATATCTATTTTTAGCTACCTGCAAGCATAAATTTTTTAAATAATTAACTTTTTATGCTCTCATTTCTATGCACATACTTGCAAAAATTTTTTCCCTCGCAGACTGGTGAGCCTTTTATCTTGTATAATAAGCACATTATCTGCTTCTTGACTTGCTTTTGCACTGCCAAAAATTGACGAAGTTGTCAATTCTTCGTCACCACGTTCTTTTCTCGGATGTATTATCATGGTTACGTGACAATTGCACTTGGTGGCGAAATTCCGAAATCTTGCTACTATATCATCTTGTTTCCAAAATCTAAAATGTAACGATACTATTTTAAATCTAGAAGCGATGTTATATGAAAAGCATTTTGTAATACCTGTCGACATGTTTTGAACTATCACTTGTTCCCATCATAAACTGCACATTGTCGATTATTACGTGAGCTATGTCATGTACATATGTTGCATGCTCAACTGTCTGTAATAGTAAATATTAGAGTCGCAAATTCAAGAAGAGGAGTGAAATATTATAATGTACTCACATCCATTACTACTTTGATGGTTTGCTGACCATGAAATGTCATAAAATATATTGGCAATTTCCCGAAAGCGTTCGCATACAAATCAAAATTTTCTAGGTTTTCTTTCAAAGGTACACCCACCATTTGTTGTAACATTGTTCTTGCTAATCGTACATTCCTTATCTCAAAGCTACCCCATAAAGTATTGACACCTTGCATTGCCAAATCTAGAGAATATTCGCTCATGAAAGTTGTTTTACCACATCCTAATAATAATAATTAATAATAATATACTACCTGTTGGTCCAGTTAATACTGTAAATTCACCTCTTCTGTGACCTTTTAGGATTTGGTTTAAAATTGGATATTTCTTCCATTTTACTCCCTGTACTTTCTCATTGTTTAATAAATCACTTAAAACGTCTTCTTTGAGCTCATGAAAGGTAATTATACTTTCATGCCATACAGGCTGAGCATTTTGAAGAATGCTATTGAAATCATAATCCATTTCAGCAGCTAATGTTGGCCGAGGTTGTGAATCAATTGGTTTAACAAAATAACATCGTTTTTCGTTCAGTTTTTTTGCAAAGTGTTTAGCAGTATACCAACTTGTCTCGTCATTTCCAAACCATAAAATTAACTTTTTGAAAGATTCCATGTATGGCAGTAATTGTTGTGGTAGATTTCTTAAATTATATGGGAGACAGATAATTGTATGTGTACATTTCTTTAATATTAAAGCTAACAAATCATCTATCATTCCTACAACTACAGCAACATTATCATTTTTACTATAGCTCTGTTTGTATTTAATACATCCACTAACTCCAAAGGCAGGAACTGTCTGTTCCTCTTGTGAATTGGATGTAAGTAATTTATATCCAACTACAGAATTGTTGAAGCCTATCAATGGAAAATACAACACATTCGTTGTCTTGTCATAAAAACAATTTAACTGGGACATATTCTCTTGTGCAACATGCTGCAAAAATAATTCTTTTATGATGTTGTTATAGTTGCAATTATTTAATAATTTGTTTGGTATTTTTTTTTCTTTTTACAGGAAGTGAAAAATTGCTGAGAAGAAGTTTATATTCCATTGCAGATAGGTCCATGATGTTTTGGCAATTTTCTATCACCTCCTTCCACCTTTGTGCAAAGTCTTCTTTCAAATGACAACTGGCTCTTAACACATCAAGTTCTTTGAATCTTTCGTTTGACTTTTGTATTGATAAAAATTTCTCCAATACATCCCAAGTACCCACAGACTTACAATTATTACACATAAAAAATCCTATAATTTCAAAACTTTAAATTATTGAAATGAAATGTTAGCATAAAATAATTTTCATCACAACTTTAAAAATCATATACCTGTTGTTTTATTTACATAAAGCTTTGACTCTGTCATTTTGTTATTACATATAGGACAATCTGCTATAACACATGTATATCCTTCTGTTACACTCAAGCATTGCTGTTTGAAATGGTGTTTCAAACGTGATACTGGTATATTGAGGAGAGACTCTTTAATATTTGCATGAAAGTGCTGCTTGTCGATATAACTTTTAATGTGTTTTCTTTTTCGAGTACAAATTTGTAAGAATAATTTAGAAAACATTTTTTGTAAATTGAAATAATTACTTACTAGACGTGCCCAAAGTTGAAAATTATAATATGTAACCAATAGATACATGTATATATTTTATGTACATGTACATACATATATATGTATATATTCTTTTTGGCTGTGATATCTATCTATTTAGATGATTTTATGACTAACATTTATTAAATACAACATTAATTACACAAAATCAATTTATGTAAATACTAACGTTAGTTAAAATTCATAAATAGGAACTTCTTTGGTCTTAAAACATATAAATTTGTGAATGAATTAAAGAAATAGATCTCCCTGCTCAAATTTCTGTCTGTACTATTGAACAATATAAATTTAAAGAATAAAAATTTCGTATATAGCGTAAATGTAAAAAGTATAAATGTTTCAATATTCTGTAAACTTTACATAAACCCAATTAACAACTTATTTTTCATTTAATAAATCTTTTTATTGATCTCTATGTACTGCGTTCACTTGATTTCACATATGTAATATTATATATATTGTTGTAACAATAACATTTACAAAATACCACATGAAACAATTTCAGTTATACACTTATTGTTAAATTTTTTATTTCTTAAAAAACAGTATCCAATAAACATTGCACGTGCACATGCTCTGCTGAAGCATGTAGTGACATCTCACGGGCAAGCATTTCATTGCTCTGCACAAAAAAAAAAAAAAAAAAAAAAAAAAAAAAAAAAAAAAAAAAAAAAAACAGAAATTTTTAATAAAAAGTAAACTGCTAAGTATATTATTTAATTCCTGAAAGTACCCATATGTAAGTGCTGCTCACTGTATTGTCTGGCAGACTCATTAAATTATTAGTTTTACAAAGGAGTAGTAAAAAGAACAAGAAGTCCTTGTTGTTTTTGTTTCTCTCTTTTTTTTTTTATTTTTATTTTGAAATAATTTTATGATGAAGTTCATTATTCACGCGAAATATTTTATTCAATAAATTCTTTGCAATTCGAATATTATAGCAGTTACATCTTGTTCAAATCATGTGTGGTACTAAAAACGTAAGTATGTACATAAATTTACATCTTTTCAAGGTCAAATTTGTTATCACAAAGAAATGTGTATAACAGTGTTATAAAATTGATTGAAAAAGGAAATATTTATTGTTTATTTACTGGGTTAAATGTTAATTTTTCGTGTTAGTATTTTTTATTAAATAATACATTAAACAAAATATCAATATGTAAAATTAATTGCAAATAAGGTACGATTTGTTTAAAAATATTTAATTTGCACTACATGGCATATATATATGTATATTAAAATATGATTTCAATTAAAAAATAACATCTTTTGCAGTAAATAATTACATTGTTATATGTAAATTTCACTCAAGCTTTCATTCAAATTATTTGGTTAATTATAGTCTTACAGTTTAGTAAATATTTGTCCAAAATGTTCTTCATGTTTTCTTAAATTTATTAATGTTGCATGACCAAGTATATGAAAATTAGTCACGTTATATTAAATAACAGATGACACATACATCTTTCTATGGTCCTTTGCTATTATTAGGAGGATTGTAAAATGAAAGTTTAACTTCCTCTTGCCTGTAGACAAAATAAAATAAAATAAAATAAATATATATACACACACATGTATATTCTTCATATACAAAATGAAAATTGAAATTATCAAGTGATTTGCAAAATAACTTTCTATCGTGTTCTATCATGTTTCAAAGGTTAAAATGTTACCTTTCAGTAGTATCGTTAGTGGTGTTATCAGCATCTGTTAAAATACCAATTTCATATACCACAGCTTTTATAACATATCTGTAATAGAAAAGAGAATTACACGAATAGTCACTATAGATATTTGTTAGTCAGTAATTTTCATAATTGCAAAATGTTCTTACAAATCATCACCAACTGAATTATTTGTTATATTAGTCGCTAACATTGTATCTGTTGTATTATAGTATGTATTTGGTACAGTTGATGTTATACTTAGTTGCACAGATAAATAAAATATGAGCAATGTTAAATATAATACTTGAGAAGTTTGAAAGCTCCGATCAGTTTCACTGTTACACAACATTTTCAACAGTACTTTTTATTTCTGAGCAAGTACTTTTATAGTGGATGATGGTGCTTCGTTAGCACCACTCCCCCTTTTTAACTTATAGCTCCAAGAAACGTCATGATAGGTATTTTCATCTTGTTCATAAGTGGAAGTGGAAAATTTGTAAAAGAGAAGTCCTCGCGTAAACTTGGGACTTGAAGATTTAGATACCTTATGGAATAGAAAAATGTATATATTACTGTGTGGTTATTACTTTGAATCAATTGCTCATTTCTTAGAATATATTCTAATTTAGTAATAGTTAGTATAGAATAAAACATGTGGAATATTTTTTTCTGTCAAGTTGCAATGTAACATAAGCTTCCATACTTATTGAATTAACAGTTAGGTGCAAATAAAGTGGTTTATGCGGTGCATATCATAGATATGTATTTCAAATGGAATTAAGTGAATGTTCAAGATATGATTTTATTGAATTAAACTAAAAGTAATAATATTTTCGTTTCATTTAAAAGTAACTTGTTAGTGTTGAATGAAATATTATTTCATATAAATTATATTATTTTACTTTTCAATGACATATATACATACTTAATAAAACATTAGAGTATAACTAGTAATAAATATAATTATTCATTATGATTCTCTTATTTGAGAGATAGTATATGAAAATTTAATTTAATTATAAAATTCTTATATAGCATTCGAATTTTCATTCTTGTGCTTTACATATGTATGTAAGTAGACGTAATGCAGAGTAGTATTTCACAGGATGTTCGTAATTCTCTCGCACATACATATGTGTTTGTACTTGACATTGTTTGTAATGCACATTTAGCTCTCTACCTTAGATGTTTAGCTATATATGTATATGTGTACATTAACTAGAGGAGTTCCGTGAACAGATTTAATATACTTAATATTGTTTGGTGAAGGTATCGATAACGCATTTCGTATATTTTAATACTGATTATTTCAGTATTATTTGAATTTTTTCGTAATGCAGTCGCTTTTCCCTTTATCACTTTATTTCCTTCTCCTGAATTATTATGAAAACTTGAAATACATAGTGAATATAGTATATTAAAAGGAAGGTCAGATTCTTTTGGAACAAATAAATGTTTTGCTTTATTTATATTTTTATGAAACATTTACCTTTCGAATTTGATACCAGGTCAGATGATATTCTAAGAACTTGATGCTGATTGGAATACGTAAATTATTCAGGTTAAATAAAATACAGAGATTTTTTAACTTATTTTTTGTTTCTTTACAATGTATACAATTTATTTAGAAAGCGTAAGTGTTTGATATATGAAATGGAAAAGTTTCACATTGTACATGTTGTTTAGAGTGCCTAACGGCTATTTGGCAACGATTAATCGAAAGGTGAATTAATAAATTGATTAATAAAGATTAAAAGGAATAAAAGGTGAGGACTACTATTTAAGAAATAAATCGAGAGATAAAGATAAAATATATAGCATTATTTATGGTTTAGAGATTAGTTATTAATTTAAATCAGCATTAATGTACATATATTGTTTGAAGACGTAATATTGTACTGTTGGTTTTCGAAGGATTACTAGAATAGGGTTTAAAACTATTAATTAATTAATTAAAATTTAGAAAAAGAAGTTTGTTACATTTGTCGGAAGAGGAGGGGGGAAGTTGTGTTACTGTTACATTTAGCTGTGTGTCGTACAATGGCATACCGGTTGCTTGCTATTCTTTCTTAGTATTAGATAGTATGGATTATTACTGATTACGAGTGAACAGTTTAGAATTTCGAAGAAACTTTGAATTATCGATATTAAATAAATTAATATAACAGCTTTGCGATGGTTACTGATTTAGTCTGTTACTTTTATTAGGTTCAGTGAGGTTGTACGGAAAGTATAGATAGCTAATCTAACCTTAATTACTGATAATATCGCAGAAATCGTACAGAATGTATCAAGACATTCGAGCAGTAAGTAAAAATCACTACAAGTCTGTTATATCATTGTTTTTCGACAGATATTACAAGGATAACATTTATGATAATGTCACATTGCACTAGGATACATGAAACGGTGTAAAATTAAAGTTCAGATCTGTTAATATGTAAATCGTAGAATGCTGATGCGACGGCAGAAGGCGTAAGAAAGTATAAATCTTGTATGATGCAAGCTACCATTAGAGAATCAATTCCCTTTGGAATGATATGTGGAGCAATAGCATATTCAATGATGCCTAAACACGTAAAGGGAACACCAAAGAGAGCATTCTCGAGCATTATCGCTACCGCAGGGTTTATATCCTCAAGGGTTTCACATATTCCAAGATGTTACGAACATGCATTTGGTACGAAACAACTAGATGGAAGAAGGTACTATCCCCTTTTAATAATTGTGTAATATTCATGGTTTGTTTTTAATAAAGTACTTAAAAGCATATTCAGTAGGGATTTGCACAATACCTCAGATCGTGTACATACTTCCAAGGAAGAAGACCAGGAGGACAAGTATATGATGCATCCTGATAAGACGGAAGAGGAACCAGCTTGGAATAGTTACGATCCCCCATTTGAAAGTAATAGTAAGTTAAGTTATTAAGAAATAATTCATAATAAAGGCATAATTTTGTGGATGATTGAAATTGTAAGTTTTGTTTTAAGCAAACGAATTTGACTATACCAGTGATATGCAAGATGTATTACAAGAGGACGAGGCGGATGAGCTAACAAATAAACAAGAAAGAAATGTAAAAAAGCGAGTAACATACGATGATTTATTTAAGGAGCATATGAGCGGAAACAAAGATATCCGGAGGAATGTTTGGAGTTGAAATAAACGGTGTGTGTCTTTTATAAATAGATTTGTCCTTAGATTTCATATATTACATAATTGTACATAATTTTTGCCTATAATAATAAGGATTGGCAATAATAAAAGTACAATAAAAGGAAAAATGTTGCAAAACTAAGAGTAGCAATACCTTTTATATCGTTAGGTTTACGAAGATTTGTCGTCGAAACGAAAGTACGTGTTGTACGGAAAGGAGAGATACGTGAAGGAAACATCATAGTGACAAATAGGTGGTAAGGAAATATAGTAAAACTGTAAAGTGGAAAATCGAAGAGGAAGTTACCAGTATGAAATGTTGTTAAGAGTTGCAATGTATGTAAATCATAGGGCGATATTACTTTCAATAAAAGGAAAAAGTGGGTGTGCAGCATATAGTATTACATTTGCTATATAAGTAGATGTAGAATTTTTTATCGAGGCAAAATATCGATTACAGGTAATATCAGCTTAAAGATTAACGTTGTCAAAACATAATTCGAAATAAATACATACATCAGACATTCAGGCACTTGTAACCAGAAATAAAAGAATTACCGCAATACTTGTACGTGTGTATGTTGGGAATAATATCGGTGGAAGATTATTCGAAAGACCGTGTCATCAGTGGCATCTAATCGAAAGCTCTCCGCTTTATTCGTAGTACATACTCTGTGTACATACAAAATTTTCTACGTTTAACACGAATTATTTATATTTCTTTTCTTCTATGGCGTTATAACGAATTGGTCTGTAAATAAAATTTCACGTACGTTTCAATTTCACATTCGTTGTTCACGATAACTTATTAGTTATGAAAGTAAGTAAGAAATATTATAGGAATGGTAAAAATTGTGATACGATCGATGAAAGACAAGAAACGTAAGTAGCGGGCAAATAATTTCTAACAATAAACACGTGCATTGAAGAAACGGCTAAAGACTGTTTATTATGTGTACATATATACATACATACATAGATGAAAGCTAAACAGTATACAGAATAAGTTAAGCAGCAATGAAATAAAACGATTACGGTAGGTGATTTGAAATCGATATTAGACGAATTAAGATCGAGTAGAGGAATATGAAGAAACGATTGGGGGGCGGTAATGGCTAGCGTAAAAACGAACGTTCAGTTTAGAGAAAAAGATAGGTAGGAACGTTTGGAAACATGTGTGAAAAGTTTGGTTAAAGAAAGATTAGACTTACTTGGACGGCGTAATCGAGAAATATCAGGCGTTGCGATCTATGCGTTTTCGACGAATCGAAACATGTCGCGTTTAGGGATGTAAGTAAGTAAGTACATACATAGTCGCTACCCGGTAGTGTTGGTAAAGAGAATTTAAAGAGGGCCGCGTGCATTCAACCATTGGCTATCGAAGGCGACCAATGGGCGAGTACTCCCATTCATAAGTTGCGCTGCTTCTCTCCTGTTAGAGGGGTGGGGGGTGTCTGACTGCATCTTGTGATGCAACACGAATTCTAGCTATATGTACAATAGTCGCTTACCCGACCCGACGTGGACTGACCCCTGACCCCTGACACACTCGTTCCTGCTTAATCCTGTCACATTTTCTCTTTCCTCCTTCGTCACTATGCTGTTCACCGTTGGCGCTTCTGTTAAGTATCATCTCTCGACCAATTCTCTTGAAAAAAGTTTCACTTGTGCTTTGTTTCACTAGATTACCGTTAGATTATCGTACTTCGAGACAAGTTACGTATCGTCCAAGTTACATATCGTTAATTGGATAAACGTATCAGAGAGCGGGATGATTTGGGACACGGAACGAAGTCGCATTGGAACATCGAACACCGAATTTGAAAGGTAAGGTGTTGGAAGAGAAGGGTAACTATTTCAGATAAAATGGGAATAGGTTTTGGTTTTGGAAGGGAGGAAGCGTGGCTTGTAGAGATCTCGGTGCGGTGAGACGACGGTTGCCGGTTACGATTCACGTGTCCGCTGCTCGGCTTAAATGATCGCGCGTAGAAAGGGGAGTCATGCAGGTGCAGGTCATGTGAAATATTTGCACTTTGTCGTAATTTGCGTAACCCGTTGCATATATAATAAATCCACAAAGCTAAAGCGCCACGATAGAAAATCGTTTCACAATCTAAAGAGAAAGGGAATCTCTGGTTCTGTGGGTGGGGAGAGATCCGAGATGCTCGTTGCCGCATATAAAACACACTAATATTATATCTCGCGCTTCGTCCTCTTCTCTCTATTATCAGCTAATAGCTATCAGCTTAAGGGAGGTTTGGTCCCCTTTTCTCCACTCTGCCACTCTGAGTGGGGTTTTTCAACGAGAGATGGAGAGAATAGGGGAGAGGGATTTGTTTGCAGCACGATCGAGGAGTTATACATATATAAGATGAGACGTGAGAGGAGCGTTGGCGGAATGGCTGTGGCCGTTCCCGTAGTCTAACAAGGGGAAGATCGAGAGAAGGGACGGTGGAGATGTTTTTATTGTCATTTTGAAAGTACGTTGTAAGCTAAAGACGAAGAGGAGCCGTGTTTGTTGTTGTTGGCCCTATCGAGGGCATTAAAGAGAGTAAAAGAGAAGGAACGATCCGATCTCGGACCGAGAGAAGTGTGGCAAAGTTGTCGGTAGTAGGAGTTCTCCGATACCTCTCGGCGATAATCGCACTTTCGAAGAATAGCACCGTCTTCTTCGGGTGATCGGGGTGGCGAGATGGAGAACGAGACGGAGCGATCTTTCGCGAGAGACACGAGGAAAGCGTGGAAAAGGAAAGAGGGCGGGTGCATGCAAAGATACTTAAATATGTATACGTAGTACTTGGGGAAGAGAAAAAGGCAGCGAGCGAGAGTAACCGGGTGAACGCAGAGAACGGGAGAGAGTGGGAGAAGAGATGTTTGTGTGTGTTAAGGAAAGGAGAAGAAGCTGGAAGAGGAAAGAGAGAAAAGGTGACGGCGAGAGGATAGGAGAAGAGAGAGAGAGAGAGAGAGAGAGAGAGAGAGAGAGAGAGGAAGAATAGGCGACGGATCGGGGGCGTGCTTGATGGCCGCCTAGACTATTCGAATCGGTCGCGCCTGGGGCGTGAGCCAGCCAGAAGCAAAAGCCAGAAGTAGACGCGAGGGTAAAGAAACGAAGAAAAGGAGAGGGAGAGAGAGAGATGGAAGAATCGGCGCGGTGACGGCGGCTGTGATACAGGGTGGGGGTGTGTGGGAGGGAGAGAGAGAGCAGCTTGGAGCGAGAAGCACGATCCGTGGAGGGCTGCGTTCACCGGGCAGTTACTCCGGAACCGTTGCCTTGACGACACGCATTTACGCATGCGCGGATGCGACGGCACCACGGGTGCACCAAGATCGCGTCACGAGCACCAGTTGCGTTTGCCACCCTCACCTCCACACTATCAGCTTTTCTCCACCTCTATCGCTGCCTGCTGGAACCACCGCTATTCGTTGCTACCACCACCACCATTCTACAAGTGTCTGTCCTCACCACCGTTGCCCGTCGTCATCGTTACCGTCGTCGACGGCACCGCTCTGCTATATACTACTGTTACCACCACGATTACCACCACCGCCGGTTCCCACCACCGCTACCACGTTATCCATTACCGCCTCCTGTGCCGTTCATATGTATCGTTCTTTCCCCGTTATCATTAGCATCCCCCA